TGATCAAGAAAGCTCCAAGAATCTGCCATGCCACAACTGGCACCCACAATTCCTAGATCAATTGCTCTGAATACTAATTGATAGAACTCGTGACAAGATTTACTAAGGTAAACGCTGGTAGTCAAGTGCAGAGCGGCTGAAAGCATCTAAGTAGTAAACCCATCCTAAGATGAGTGCTCTCCTATTTCGACTTCTCCATAGTCTCTGGTAGCACAGCTGAGACAACGATGGGTTCTCTGCCCTAGCGGGGGTAGAGTGAAAGAAGTTTTGAGAATTTAAGAGAAGGTCACGGTGAGATGAGTTGTTTCTAATTAATGATAGGTGTCAAGGTTGAGGCATCCTAACATACCAGACTTGAACCTTGTTTCTAATTCGATCTGACCCTAGTCATTCATTTCTCGAAAGTCTCCCCTATCCAATTAAACCTCTTTTATAGTAACAGATTTACATTTTATAACAGAAACCTACCCTTAAATGGGCCTATCCAGATGTGGCCCAACTACTCCTCCTAAAATACACTTGCTTAATCACAGGTCTGCTATCACATTATTTTAGTAGGAATCATGCTGTCTTCACTCTCGGGTTTCTGATTTATTTTCAAATATGTCTGCTAATTTTACCAGATGTAATCATAATGATCCGAAAGCTGTGGTTCACATCTCATGCATTTTAATAGCCTGAGAAACCATTGTATCAGTAACTAAACCAAATTTATGTTTATTGAGTCTGTTGATGACAACGAAATCTTACAAAATTGGAATTAATGTATAAACCATACATCCTAGACAATGGAGAAAATTGTGTGGATATGATATGACTAGCTTAATTCTGCTGAGTTCGCTTCTGGGCCTGTACTTTCGTTATCAATTTCATTCTCTCAAACGTTGCAGGAGAGAGGGTGGAATGTTACATGTCCATGGGAATACAAAAGACTCAGAGGAGAGTCAGTGGATTGATCATGTAGCAAAATCAATAAATGACATTGCTAGATCTGAAGGTAGCATCATTTTATTTTATATTTTAAAATTAATCAACATTGACATCCCATTGCAACTTTGTGAATTACGACTGACGAACCCGCACTGTTATGCTACCCCCAGGCTATTGTTGGGAGATTTCTATAGAGCATGTTGAGAGGGTAAAATGGTATGCTCCACATATTCGTCACGTTGTAGCGGATGTAAGATGCAGAGAGATCCGAAGATCAAGATAGTAAATGATCTGGCATTCGAGATTAAACACTGGCATGCAATCAATATGAATGTCATTTCAAATATTAATATGCCAAAAATCTGAATGATCTACCTCTTGTGACAGTATGAAATGAAAACGCCGAGTTTGGATCGCTGAAATTCAGAACTATACGTCGGACTGACAAATATTGTGTACGGGGCAAATATTTGGTAATGACAATCCCTGCTTACTATCTGCGGACTACTATTTAATCTAATAATATTTTAGAGATAATTTTATGCTTCCAAAATGGAGGGGAACACCCAATGTTTCTGTTAATTAGTTTGGGTTACAATGAAGCCCATATTGATAGTTGCATGTTTGGATTCAATACAGGTATTTTACTTTTATATCTGATCTCATTATTGTTGTACTATATGAAATGAAGATATGGTCTTGTGTACTATATATGAAATGAAGATATTGAGGGCAGGTTTGTAATCGGAACCCAAAATGTTGTAATATCAATTCTTCTTAACTAAATACAGTTGGAAATTTAAGGCTGAACGAGTCAATCATTTTCTTAATATGATTGAGTTATGTCGGTCATCTATTTTTTCTTTTGGTTGTGTTAAATCCTAGGTCTAATAAAGATGGTAAGTGCAGTATATAAAGAGAAAAGTTTTAAAATTGTGAATTTGCTTTTGAAGCATAGGCTTAGATCCTTTTATTACTCTCCAACCCCACCGCCACTACGGTCGTGTTTAATACAGGGAATGATTGAACGCTCTTTAGATAATGATATGGCAAGAAAGAATATGTCATTTGGTAAAAGAGTGGAAATATTTATTTGATAAAAGAGATCCTTGAGAATCGCAATTCTGAGTGAAAAGTGACATTGGTGTCATAAAGACGTTATTAACCATAGTATTAACACTTCTTGAAAGCACTGGCAAGTGGATTGCATGGTTAATTATAAAATTAAAGTGTTTTGTTCATGGTATATTAAAATAATAATATTGGTATTTTTTTTCATGAGTTCTGCTTTAATTTTTTAGTTTATGAATGTTGAAAGTTCCACGTCGTGTCATTTAGTATGATTTAAATATATGTTAGATTAATTTTCATATTGTCATTTTATGTTGGAACTTTAACATGGTATCAAGGCCAAAGTTTAACATTTTTTCGGTTATTGTCATGGGTTAAAAGTTGTCTTTTAATTGGATCAAAATTACTTTTTGTCTTATCGGACAAACTTTGTTAGAGGGAGAATGTTGAAATTCTTATATTGTTTATCTCATGTCATTTATTATAGTTTAAATAATGTTAAACTTGTTAAGTTTATGTTGATAATGACAATAAATGGTAGCAAACTCAAGGAAGCAAAGAGGGTGATGGGTGGAGTGCTGATTCATTATATCACATTAATGTGTAGATGCGTGACGATACGTTATACAAGATGAGATGAGATAGAGGTTCGAATCCAAAATATGTGTCGGTGGTGGTCAGCGGTCACAGAGCGAACAGAGGCTATGATGGTCCCGCTTTCTTGAGGTGAGCGTTCCAAACATGTAATTATAATTCATACTTTTTTTGCAAAAGGGTTTTATAATTTTAATCATTGTTTCCATACAATTTAAACTATTAATTACATTATTTCAAAATTGACGTAGTGAATAAACTTAATATTTAAATTATGATTCTTCTAAAACAAATAAATTTTAAAAATGCATAATAAATCAAATGAGTGATTTTACCTTTGACATTTTTCTTAAATTAAAGGTATTAAAATAAGAGATTTAGTAGAAGTTATGCCCTCTTAGCGTAGAATAGTTTTACATCGCTATTTATTCACAAATCATAGTTAGTATGATATCTAAGGTAATTATTTTAAAATCTGACAAAAGTTATCGTTCATTATTCTTTTTATACAACAAAAGAAAAAACGGAAGTACAAAACGCACAAGCAATGAACACCTAAAAAAAAAACAGAGCGTTTATTGAGACGTCTTCTTAATAAGCGTTTCAAAAGTATGTTTAAAAGAAAATCGTTCATGGTTCGACTGTTAGAGTTTCGAATAAGGTTGATCCAAGAAAAATAAGGATGCCATGCGTTGATGAAGTTATTCCTTCAAAACAAGAAAATAACAGTCTACAATAAAATCAATTCCTTTAAGATGTGTTATATAATATTCAAAAATTCTCTTTTTGTTGTTTGAAAATATTAGTAGAACTTAAACTTTCCTCTCTTCCCATATTTATATTGAATAACACTTTTGTTTACTAAATCAAATCACAATCAGTTCAAGAAAAATTAAGATAAACAAAGTTATAATTAGATATTCAATAAACCTACATCGAAGACTTACCACACAAAAAGTCTATTTAAACACTATAAATAACATGAAAAATAAGATATATATTATTCACACTTTTTAATTTTGTGCATGCAACACCTATCATTGATTTAACTTGACCTTTTGGAGGCATCTACACTTCCACGATCCAAGAAATCTAAACTCAACTCTTCTCAAGAAGTTCTCGTATTGGAGAAGTGGTAGAAATTCCTTGACCATTGCGAGAACATTTAAAAAAAAAAAAAAAATATTTACATATTTTACTTTTCAAATAAAATAAATCCACACCTTTTATTTTTAAAATAAACATCATTTTCTGTTTACAATAATAAAGAAAAGTTATGTTAATTAGATTTTTAAGTTTTTTTCTTATGTACACTGTTGAAATAAAAAGTAACCAAATCATTATCCCAGCACCTATGTTGTCCATTATCTTTTATTGTTTTAGTTGATTTCTATTTTAACGACTAAATTTAATAATAATCGTAATAAATAGTTAGGATTATTAAACATATTATCCTGAAAATTGTGCAACGGAGAGGATTCAAACCCTTTAAAAGAAATATCTGATTAAGCTTGTGTATGGTTGTGGCGGGGAAGAAGTTGCGACAGAAAATGAAAAAGAAAGAATGGTGTGCAAAGTGACTGTTTAGATAAAATAATGGTAAATAAGTAGTTTTTAAAGCATTTTTTTAATCAAATATCTTTTTTTTTATTACTTTCTCACTTTCTTTTATTCAATTGAACAAAAATAACATTTCATTTATTTATTTTTTTCCCTTGAACCAAACAAATCATAAACCAGAACTCACGAAACAGGTGTCGACAAGGTGGGCCATAAGGCTGTAAGGACCACATTTTGGTATCACAGTCTGACTCAATAAAATAAATTTTGGATTGTGGGTTTAATAAAATATCTGAATAGGTTAAAAGGTCAATTTCCAAATTTGTATATAAAATTTTAAACTTCTATGCAGGACATAATTGTAAGGATTTTTCTGGTGTTGTTACTTGAAAGGCACTCAAAAGTTATTTACTCTCTCTATATATCACGATTTTCTTATTAAAAATCATGTTGAAATACAATGACAACTATGATAAAATGTATTAATAATATATTACTTTTAATTTGATGACTAACATCAATCACATCACTATTTAGCATATTTTTCGTTGCTCGTACTTAGCGAGATGGAAGTTTTGTAGGCAAAAATAGGAAAAGAAATTTCACCGAGTGCAGGGAGTCCCGTAGCGTAAGCACATGCTCCGTAATTAATTGTTTGTTTGTTAGTAGTGGCCTTGGAAGATGATGAAGCCATCACCGTCATCATGAACCTTAAAAACCAATTTTAATTTTATTCACCAAAGCATTCTCACACTCACACTCACACGGTACATTTACTTTTGCATTTGCGCTTTATTTAAGCAGAAGCAGATAGGAGTGTAAGTAGGAGAGTGAGAGTGGATAGAATGGCTCCCAAATGTTTCATCCTTTTGGCTGTCTTATCTTTTTCAGCACTTTCATTGAGTCCTTCTCTTGCAGAGGAAGGGCAAGATAATGGCCTTGTTATGAATTTCTACAAGGAAACATGCCCTCAGGCTGAAGACATCATCAGAGAACAAGTCAAGCTTCTCTACAAGCGCCACAAGAACACTGCTTTCTCCTGGCTCAGAAACATCTTCCATGACTGTGCTGTTCAGGTATTCTTTTTCATGCGCATGGTCTATCTGATCCATCAGTTCTAAGCTTGCCCTCATACTACTAATCTGGCTCGAGGAAATGGTAAGTGAGTCTGACAAAAGAATCCTTCTTTCTGTACAAAGTTGAGAGTCTCCATAACAGAGTGTCCAAATGATTCGAACTTGCGTTCAGCTAAGTTCAGCACATTAGCGTACCAACTCCTCGGTTTCTTGTTTTTTCTTTTTTTGTTTGCAAGTTGCATGTTGTTGGCCATTTTAATTTTTGGTCAGTTATTTTTTTAATGAAAGAGTTTGTTCTTTTCCTTTGTATGTGAGGGTAGAGTTGTGATGCTTCACTGTTGCTGGACTCCACAAGAAGGACCTTGTCTGAGAAGGAGACAGACAGAAGCTTTGGTTTGAGAAATTTCAGGTACATTGAGACCATCAAAGAAGCTGTGGAAAGGGAGTGCCCAGGAGTTGTTTCTTGTGCTGATATCCTCGTTCTCTCTGCTAGAGATGGCATTGTTTCGGTAATTAACTCCTTGTCCTTTCTTTTTTGTTCTGTTCCGCTTCTCACTTATGCTCACCCACACTAGATCTGTCATTTGCTACTCGTTTTTGGTCTTTTAAGAAAGTTCACTTTTGGAAGCTAAAGTCTATGTATATCTATCCTATCCCATATGTCAATAATTCTACCAGATCTAGTATGAAGGGAGTATTTGGAGACTTGTTCAGTCCAGAATTGTTTTGACCTTTAAATTTTTTCCATTATTACTTGGAAACAAGTAAGAAATTATTCTTGTAATTAATTATTTTGATCCAAGCCTCCAAATTTAATGTGCTGCAGCTAGGAGGCCCCCATATCCCTCTTAAAACTGGAAGAAGGGATGGTAGAAGGAGCAGAGCAGATGTGGTTGAACAGTTCCTCCCAGACCACAACGAGTCCATTTCTGCAGTTCTTGAGAAGTTTGGTGCCATGGGAATTAACACACCCGGGGTGGTTGCATTGCTTGGTATGCACTACTATACACCCTCCTCTAATTCATCATGTATGTACATGCTTTCATGAAAAGGACATGCCCCACATACACAAGAAATTATTATATAAACCTTGTACCACCGTGCTTGTTTTATTTATTTATAAGAAAGATTATAAAATTTGGACTTCGTGACTATAGTAGTCCCTAGATATGTAATAATTTCCCAGCATATGCATACATTAATTAGCACAGGAAACTGTATCCATCATATTTTGTTTCATAAATGTATGTGGGATCCGTATGATTAATCATAGATAAAAACTAAGGCAACTTGACAACATAAATGCAAGATGCAACACTATACATGGGTACATGACATGCTAAAAGAAGTACATGTTCAAAAAGAAACACGTGGCGTTGTTGCTTGCAGATTTAATTTTTTAATGATTGATTTTTTTGAACAGGAGCACACAGTGTTGGTCGAACCCATTGTGTGAAGCTGGTGCACCGTTTGTACCCAGAGGTTGATTCAGCACTGAACCCTGACCATGTCCCTCACATGCTGAAGAAGTGCCCAGATGCCATTCCAGACCCGAAGGCCGTGCAGTACGTGAGAAACGACCGTGGCACCCCCATGATTCTAGACAACAACTACTATAGGAACATATTGGATAACAAGGGCTTGTTGATAGTGGATCACCAACTAGCCAATGACAAGAGGACCAAGCCTTATGTGAAGAAAATGGCCAAGAGCCAAGACTATTTCTTCAAGGAGTTTTCTAGAGCCATTACCTTGCTCTCTGAAAACAATCCTCTCACTGGCACAAAGGGTGAGATCAGAAAGCAGTGCAATATTGCCAACAAGCACCATGAAGAGCCTTGATTGCTTCCCACCTTGGCTTTAAACTTTCTTCCCCTTGTCTGAGGAAGAAATCTGTAAGATATTATGCAAAAATAATTAAGGGGCGTGCTATGTTTTCGTTTAAATGAGTTGGTTTGGTAGAGTCGTATGAACCAATCAAGACCACTGCTTTCTCAATACTTGAACCTTGTCGGCAGGTTCATGGGATGGGAGGACTGAGATTTGACCGTGCTTGGTTGTTTTTATTTCAATAAGGATATTTTCTTTAGTATGCAAGTAGCAGCTTAGAGTTGGGTAGATGGGCATGCTCATGGTGTTAATTAGATGTCAATGTCTGCATGTGGTTCTGTTATCGATGGCAGGATGTCGATGTATGTTTGTGAGTGCTGTTATCGATGGCATGACAATGTTTGTGATATCCATATCCATAGTCAAAAAGTTTGTTCTTTCTTTCAACATAAATCATGGCCATTATGCACTGTTAACTCCTATTCACAAAGGCCCCCGGGATAGAGACTGGAGGAAACAAGATTTAAGTATCTAACAACTGACAGATGTACAATCTTTGAGCTATCTGTTGTGACCTTGAATTCAATTGCGAGGTTGAAATTGAAACTTATAATTGAGTAAGTAATTCATAATTAAGTTGAGTAAGTAATTCATAAACATTCCTATTTTATTATTATTTTATCCCGTTTATAAGAATTATTTGAATTTCCTAATAATAATGGTTGGCTTTTTTCGATTTTGTTATTATTATTAGACCCTCGAACGACCTAAAATCTCATCTTATTTTGCATGTAGGTTGGGAAACAGATTAAACAAACAATTAGTATAATTGCTCATAGGTAGTATACTGTATATAAGTGGTCCAAAAAAAAATGAAGTAAAACAAAATTGGTCCATTGATGTGGGTCATATCAATTCCACGTCTGAGAGGTAAGAAAGAATTTTTGTTTTGGGCTAGGTGCAATCCTAAAGGTATTTGTGGAAAATGACCATAGCTACTACCTGCAAAAGGAGAAAATGCCTAGAAGAAATCACGTTCTAGTTATTCATTCATTCCTAAGTTTCTGCACGGCAAACCACAATTTGGATCCGAATGAGCAATGAGATAAGATTCTGTTCTTGTTGGTGATTCCTGTAAGTTATTTTTGTAAATTAGAATAATTATTAGAAACAACAAATAGATGAATATTAAAAATATAAGTTCATATTTATTTCGATAAAAATATTTAAGAATAAAATATTACACATAAAATATAGATAAAACTTAAATTATAATATATTTCTATATTATGTAATATTTTTAATCATAATTTTGTTAATTTTAATTTAATATATAAATATTAAAAAAAAAGTCAACATTTTATCTTGGTTTATTGGTTAGAAGACTAGGAGAGAAAAACTAAAACAGGTTAATCCGATAAAATTATCAATTCTTTATACTAATTTTGAGACGCCAGAACACTTTATCATCCTTATATACAGATTTAGTATGAATATTTTGTTTCTTTATTATAAAATATATTTTTAAAATATTAATAATATATTTTTTTGTAATAAAATTTAAATTTGCTTTAATATTGTTAAACCATAAATTATGAAATAATAAAGCATGACTCTTACAACTTTTAATATTCTTAATTTGGATTATGTGATTTTATTTTTTATTTTTTTTAGTAATTAATTTTTTTTTAATTTAATATTCTTAAGGTTTTGTTATTCTTAAACTATAAAAATAAGTATTTTATTTATTTATTTTAATTTAAGTATGGTTGTTTTATTTTTAAAACTAAAAAAATTGTACCCGATCCTATCTATATTTTTTATCTTATCATATATTTAATTTAAAACTTTTTTTCTATTCAAATTTTAACAAATTAATTCAAATAAATTTAAACTTTATTTTTCAAAATTCACCTTTTATAACATTAGATCTTACAGTACTAATCTTCCATTCTACAAAATCTTTTAATTTCTAGTAATTTTTTATAATTATAAATACAATAAAATATTAGGTTTTGTTTAATTATGATATTATAAAAAGATGCAGAAGTACATGGAAAAAGAGAATGTACTTGATTTCATGTCATCAATGTTGCAGTAGAGTGTAGAGAGAAATGGAGTGCAATTATTTTTCTGTCCGCCATTAACGAGTGCTACTCATCTTGTTGCTGATCTCTTCATATTTGTTATCTGTTTTCTGTGTTTTATGAACTGATTTATTATAATGGATAGTTACACTCTTACGCAAGTATTTTATTATTTATATATATATATATATATATATATATATATATAAAGAGGAATATTATTTTATAAAATTATTTTTTATTCAATAAATAGTTATTTATTTTTATATTTATAATTTAACTATAATATTTTGATAAAAAAATTTAAAAATCAAATAAATAATTAAATATATTTTTATTTTTTAATATGATATTATATTATTGATTTTTACAAAAAATTAATTTTATAATTAAAAATATTTTTATAATTATATATTAAAATATATACTATTAAAAAAATAAAATATTAATTTAAAAATGTATTTTATTACCAAATTAATTAATAATTATATGATGTAATTTTGTAATCATATTATTTTTATTTATTTATTTATTAATTTTAAAATTAATATTTTTTCATATATTTTTTATTCTAATTCTTTTTTTTTAGAATAGAAAAGTATCTTTTGTTGCAAAGGTCTAACATACTATTAATTAGTACAAAAAAATTAATTATCATCACATACAAGAAAATATACTATTAAGGATATAAAAGAGCATTTTAGTGTTGTTTTTTTATCAACAATCATTGAAATTCTTAATTTACAATAAATGAGATATGTTATATTATATATCTTTTTTAACCAATTATACTAAAAATTTTGTTTTGATGAATAATTTTTATAAATACTCATATTTTTATAATTTTTTATTTATTTTTATAATTTTTTATTTATTTTATTAATTTTAAAATAATTTAATTGTTATAATTAAATATTAATTTAGTATATATATATATATATATATATATATATATATATAAAAAAAGGGTTAAACATCAAGAGTTATATTTTTCAACCTCCAAGTAAAAGAAAGAAACTAATCACCTAATTGTAACTACTCTATCCATTTTGGGTTTAAGCTTTTTCTTAATATTTCAAGGTATTTATCATTTAATCATTTCAATACATTAATTACAAGATTATTTCAATGTTATCCTTAATAAATACTCATTAATATAAATTATTTTATTATTAGTCACAAAAAATATTATTATTGGACATTCAAAGTTATAAACCAATTACATAGAAAAAGAGATTAATATATCATAATATGTAATATTAGATTTACTTATAGAAAATAAATGAATGAATTATCCCCATTCCATTTTCTTAATATTTAGTATATCTTGAGCTCAATATACTTCCCACCTCATTCATCAACCAAACATTTACAAATAATAATATAATGATGAATAATAATATTATATTAATATATTTAATTTTGAATAAATATTTTTGACAAAAACTGTTATCAATTTTTATTTTTATGGGTGGATCTATATATATATATATATATATATATATATATATATATATAACTGTAATTATTGGCTAAGGGAAACAATTTTGAACAATGAAATAAAGAAGAGTTTAAAAATATGTAAGTAAAAAGTTTTTATCTATTAACTAATTTATTATTTTTCTTAATATATGAGATAAAACCTCAAACATAAAATAAAATGGTGGAGTATCTTAAAACAATATCCAATGTTTGATTTGTCCTGTGTTCAATAGGTTTTTCTTATACAATCCAATACAAATTGGAACAAGAGGATTGTATGTATTTCTGAAGGCACGTAAGTAAAGTTTGTTTGAGTTACAAGCTGCACAGAAAAGCTATGCTATGCATCATGACACTTGAAGCATCTACAAAATTATTACATTCCAACTACATATTTATGGCGTGTCATTGTCGCAATGAGTCCATCATTTGTGAAATGCAGGACTCTACTTGATCCCACTACAGCCTGAACTGCTGCTATCAGTGTCACTGTCAGTTTCATCGGAGGCTAAATCATTCTTTCCACTACCTTCTAACAATTTTGGATGATTGAAATAAGGTTGTGTTTGGATTGACATGTAGTTTGTAGCAGAAGGAAAGGAATGGTATCCATATGTAGAAGGATAGGGTCCAGGAAGAAAAGCATTTGGTGGAGGCCAATACATCACTGGCACAAATGTACTTGCTGGCTGTGGTGGCAGCATACGATGATTACAAGAGGCATTGGTAATGGAATTGGCAAGAGCTGGATTTGGGATGTGAGAACTGTCTTGGGAAGAAACCTGGGATGGCATTGAATGAAATGCTGCCATCGCATATGTGTAAGCTGAGGGATAGCCAGCTAAACCAAATTGAGTAGCTGCTGAACTTGTTGGTGCTGCCTGTTGAGATGGGGTCTTTTGTGTATTGTGAGACTTGATGATGGCATTAGGGTGCTTTTTTCCCTTGGATTTTGCAGGATGTGTCCTTTTTATTAAGTTGTGGGGTTCAGGAGTACCCTGCTAGAACAACACAATGTAGAAAGAAGCTTAAAAGAGCCATCAAATATGTGACACCATAAACAATAGCTATTTTGAGGCCACCAAAACCAATGTAAGTGTGATAAAATTGCGGCTAGTATATAAGAACTTATACTCTTCTGTTCCTTGTATAATAAACTTTGATAGTTGAGTATACTCACTCAATTTGATTTTAGAAATTCTTGATGAAGACTTCCAAAGAAAAAGAATAGGCAAGTGGCTGATACAAAGAACTCGTGCATTATATGAGATTGGTATTCTTACATTGTCAAATGCGATTGGATGTGGCAGAAACAACTCCTCGCCTTCTGCTTCCTCATCAATCCTGCAAAGGGAAAATTATGTGTTAGATGAAGACTGCAACAGTGTACTAGCCTACTAGGTCTCTTGGACCAAAAAAAATCTGCTCAATTTTTCTGTATTGAAATATAGCTTTATATATTGGTGGTAAACACTTTTTTCTGAGAATATTCTGATTTAAAATAAATGTTTTCTTGTACAATTTACATCTTCTGATTTGTTTTCTATGATGACATCGATTTAGAGCAATGCTTCTAATAGATTGTGCTGTCCTTAACTAGACATCTATCTTGCTGTTTCATTTATGTTTCGATTGCTTGAATATAATTACATAAACCTGTAATATTTCTGAAGCAGGTCTAAGTTTCGGTATTTGGTTTCCCTTTGAATTAGATAATCAGGAAATCCTGCCATAAACAGGAGTGTGATGCCCAAAGCCTTGAAGAAAAAGCTTCCACTGCGAATGTGAACCAACACTGCCATTCGGCACATGAGTGGCCCAAAAGACTTCAATTTGTTTCTTCCCATCCTCTGTCTCACATATCTGCATTATTCAATCCAAAAGTTACTCCATATTAGACTGCATATAAATGTTTTGAAGTAAAATATCCGTGGGAGCCAATGCCATTTATAATAGAGAAAACTACTAGGAAAAATGAAGCAGAAATGGACCATCATCATTCCAAAACCTACTCATTTTGAGGAAGATTTCTTGTCCTTCCACCGTATTTAATGCACAAGAATAAGCATGATGGACAGCTAGCATCAGATGGACGCATGGCTCTTTCTTCTTCTAGTATCTGAACAGGACATAATACAGGGTTTTGTCGATTGGGATAAAATATTTTCCTCCGAATACCAGGATTCTCGTATAAAACATGTTCCTACATAGATTGAAAAATAAATCATTACATCGATAAATAGAAATATCTGAGCCTAATTTTTCTAGGTCTAAATTCATGTTTGAATGCGAAGTGACTTTGTTCCAGACATTGTTTGGCTAATGGTTACATTCTTCCACTTTGGCACATAACTAGTTACTAGATTAAAAGCATCATGATCCCAAGATCATTCTTCACAGAGACTATCAATTTTAGGCAACATTTCAGTGCCTGAAATTGTTAAAAGGAGATTACTTACATCTTTCATTACGCTTCATAAAAACAAGATTCAATCTGATCTGCTATTTGTTGGGAAATAAGGTCGGATAAGATGGAATAATAATAATACACCAATGTGAGATCAATAAAAGACACGAATATTTGTTAACCCAGTTCGGATTAAATCCTACATCTGGGGGCGAACCAAGCCAGGAGAATGAACTAGAATAAGAGGATAAACCGAATGTTACAATTCACACAAGCCCGTATGAATACACTCTCTCTACTCTTTCTTCACACTTGGATTGGATACAAATGAGGTTACAAAATGAGGTATTTATAGCCAAAAAAATCCTTCTTGAGAGGAAGTTGAGAGGAAGCTCCCTTCCTTTGACCAGGAAGTTGCAAGGAAGCTCCCTTCCTTTGACCAGGAAGTTGCAAGGAAGTAGCCTTCCTTTGACCAGGAAGTTGCAAGGAAGTAGCCTTCCTTTGACCAGGAACTTACGAGGAAGTTCCCTATCTTTGACCGATCTTTACACCTCAACAATCTCCCACTTGAAGATTGGTCAACCTGTTCATCTCTGCTCTTGGTTCTGCTAAGTCTGCTTGTTTTAATCATCAAGGCCGGTCGAAGCTACACACGACTTCAACTTTTCCAAAGTTACCGCCTTGGTCAACATGTCTGCAGGATTCCTATCTCCCCGAACCTTTTTCAATTGCAGCATCTTCTTCTCTAGAAGTTGCTTGGATGAAATGATACTTAACCTCGATGTGTTTCGTTCGCGAGTGAAACGCGGGATTCTTTGCCGGATGGATTGCACTCGGCTATCGCTGTATAGAGCCACATCCTCTTGAGGTCTCCCAAGTTCATTCAAGAAGTTTTGCAGCCAAACGAGTTCCTTGGCTGCCTCCGTCATCGCCACGTACTCGGCTTCCGTTGTGGACAATGTGACTATCTTCTGCAGCTTTGAGATCCGGGATACGGCCGTCCCGCCGTAAGTGAATACGTACCCAGTAGTACTCCTCCTCTTGTCAAGATCACTTCCTGCAAAATCAGCATCGACATACCCGGATAGGGTAAGGGTACCCCTGCCAAATACTAATGTCCGGTCCTTAGTACCCCTCGGGTACCTAAGGATCCACTTTACCGCCTCCCGAGTGCATCACTCCGGGATTGCTCATGAGCCGACCGACTACTCCCACTTGCATGTGCTATGTCCGGCCGGTGCGGACCATAGCGTACATTAGGCTCCCGATAGCCGAAGCATACGGCGTAACTCTCATCTTTTCTTTTTCCGAGTCATCCTGGGGCGAATCCTTGTTGGACAACTTGAACTGGCTTCCCAATGGCACTCGAACCGACTTTGCAATATTCATATTGAATCTGCACAATACCTTCTCAATATAATCAAATTGAGAAAGCCAAAGTTTACCAAGCATTTACGTCCTCGTGATTTTCATGCCCGATGTCTGTCTCGCTTCTCCTAGATCCTTCATATCAAATCTCCTTGATAGGCGATCTTTGAGCCTCTCGATCTCCTTGACATCCGATCCTGCTATCGGCATGTCATCCACATATAGCGATAAAATAATGAAAGAGTTACCGAACTTCTTCACATAGCAACAATGATCGAGCATTACACCTGGAGTATCCTATCTCCAGCATGAAATTATCGAATTTTCGGTACCACTCGTCGAGGAGTCCGTTTCGGTCCGTACAAGCTCTTCTTTAGGCGACGGACACTGCGATCATTTCCTCTATATCCCTCACGGTTGCACCATGTAAATTTCCTCCTCGAGATCCCCATGCGGAAAGGCCGTCTTCACATCTAACCGTTGCAACTCCAAGTTTTCCGCCGCTACGATGCTTAACACTAAACGTATAGTGGTTAACTTAACAACAGGTGTAAAAACATCGGTAAAGTCAATACCGTATCTCTGTTGGAATCCCTTTACTACAAGTCCGGCCTTGTACCGTTTTGTTCCATCTGATTCCTCCTTGACTCGATAGACCCATCCGTTTTGAAGAGCCTTCTTTCCTTGTGGGAGATCACACAAATCCCATGTGTGGTTCTTCTTCAACGAGTTCATCTCGTCTTCCATCGCAAGCTCCCACTTGCTCTTGTGGGCATCTTTAAGCGCCTCTGCATAACGGTCGGGTTCCCAGAATCGGATAAAAGTAGGTAATAAAGAGAAGGGGAGTACCTATCCGGGGCCCTTCTCATCCTCGGTTCTCGGCCCGGTGCCGAGGCGTCTTGCTCTCGGCAATCGGTTCATCCGATTCCGGTTACGCCTCTTCTTACGTACGCTCGATCTCATCTATCCGAGCTCCCACTCGAATCTGCTTGGTCTCATGATTCCGGTATTTGAAATATCGAGACCAACATACTCCTACATGGTCTTGTCATCGTCCAGGTATTCCTTCAGGTCCTTATACATTATGCCTTCATTGAACACCACATTACGATTGCGAATAATTTTCCGATTTTGATCATCCCAAAATCTATACCCAAATTCGTCGAGTCCCATATCCAATGAATGTACATTTGACGGACTTAGCATCCAGCTTTGTCCGGTCGTCATTCAAAACGTAAGCCAAACAACCAAAGGTACGTAAGAAAGAGAGATCAACTTTCTTACCACTCCGGACCTCTTCCGGAATTTTGTTGTTCGATGGGACGGAAGGCCCCGATTGATCAAGAAAGCGGCCGTGCTTGGCTCGCTTACGCCCAAAACATCTTGGGCAGTCCACTCTTCAATCGCATGCATCTCGCACGCTCATTCGGTGTTACGTTCATCCTCTCCGCAATGCCATTTTGTTGAGGTGTCCACTGGGACCGTCTTACGCATCCGGATCCCATGATCGGCGCAGTATTCTTTGATGGCTTCACTGTTGTACTCGCCACCGTTGTCGGATCCGAGACATTTCACTTCCGGACTGTCTCTTTCTCCACGAGTGCTCTCCATCTCCCGAAAGTATCAAAGGCTTCGGATTTTCTTTTCGGAAAGTACACCCATACCTTTCTTGTGCAGTCATCGACGAACGTCATGTAGTACATCGATCCTCCAAGAGATGTCACCGGTCTTGGCCCCCATAAGTCGGTGTGCACAAGCTCCAGGTTTTTCTGTCTTTGGAGCTCTTCCGGTGGTTATGAAGCTCACTCGCTTCGCTTTCCAAGCACGCATTGCTCGCAGAGACCCACGTCCACTGACTCCAACTCGGGCAAAAGTCCTCTCGACTTTAGTACCTTCATTCCTTTTTCGCTCATGTGGCCCAAGCGACCGTGCCATAAGTGCGATTGTGAGACAACTCCTGCCAGGAGAATGTTTGAGCTGGATCTACTCGCCGTGTAAAGCGTTCACGACTTCGACCCTCTTGCCAAAGTCATAGCTCCTCGGCTGACCTTCCACTTTCCGTCTCCAAACATTGTGTGGAAGCCGTCATTGTCTAGGCTGTCCAAGCGAGATGAGATTCCTCTTCGGTCCTGGAATGTGTCTCACATCACGTAGGGTCCAACATGACCCATTTGCGGACTTGATCTGCACATCTCCCTTCCCTACAATTTTTAAGGATTTGTTGTCCGCAAGATATACCAAGCCAAAATCACCGCGGTGTATGGCTCCATGATGTCTCTGCTACTTGCATGAGTGAAATGAGGCCCCCGAGTCCACGATCCGGTCATCGAGCGAGCTTCTCACACTCAACAAGAGTGCATCCGCCGTGTCCTCCGTCGCGGCATTGGCTGTCCGGCCTTCTTTGTCTTTCCTTGGTGCCCGGCATTCGCTTTTCATATGCCCAGGCTTCTCGCAGTTCCAACACACCATCTCTTTCTTGCCTTTATTCCTTCCCCTGGATTTTGACCTCCCACGGATTTTCCCTCGTGTTTCGGGTCTCCTCTGGACTCGTATGTAGAGGCTGAGCCAGACGACCCACCCGCCTGATTTCTGCGGGTCTCCTCGTTCAACATCATATCTCTTATGTTGTCGAACTTCATCTTCTCCTTGCCGGAAGAAGTGCTCACCGAAGTAACTGACCACGTCCCAACTGTCCAGGCAATGATGAGAGCAAGATTAGGGCTTTTACCTCATCATCAAACGAAATATCCACCGATGCCAACTGCGTAGTGAGTTGGTTGAAATCGTTGAGATGATCGGCCATCGACTTTCGCTCCTCCATTTGCAATTTGAACAGCTTTTTCATCAGCATCACCTTGTTTATTGCTCGATGGTTTTTCATACATGTCGGCGAGTATCTGCAAGACCTCCTTCGTGCTTTTTGCTCCCTTCACATGGTAGGCGACGTTCGAGAGAGCGAAAGAATTATAGCACTCATCGCCTTCCGATCGAGCACCTTCCATTCATCATCGCTCATCTTCTCGGGTTTTTCCCCAAGAGGTGCGTAGAGGTCCTTCCCGTACGGGTAAGCCTCCATTTGCATTCGCCGGAATCCAAAGTCGGAACCATTGAACCGTTCGACTTGAATCTTTCCCTCCATCTTATCTCCAACCTCCCGGCTCGATACCGGTTGTTGGGAAATAAGGTCGGATAAGATGGAATAATAATAATACACCAATGTGAGATCAATAAAAGACACGAATATTTGTTAACCCAGTTCGGATTAAATCCTACATCTGGGGGCGAACCAAGCCAGGAGAATGAACTAGAATAAGAGGATAAACCGAATGTTACAATTCACACAAGCCCGTATGAATACACTCTCTCTACTCTTTCTTCACACTTGGATTGGATACAAATGAGGTTACAAAATGAGGTATTTATAGCCAAAAAAATCCTTCTTGAGAGGAAGTTGAGAGGAAGCTCCCTTCCTTTGACCAGGAAGTTGCAAGGAAGCTCCCTTCCTTTGACCAGGAAGTTGCAAGGAAGTAGCCTTCCTTTGACCAGGAAGTTGCAAGGAAGTAGTCTTCCTTTGACCAGGAACTTACGAGGAAGTTCCCTATCTTTGACCGATCTTTACACCTCAACACTATTGACTGTGGTCACATGCAAATCTGATTATCATGAAATTGGGGTGTGTGTATGTATATATATATATATATATATATATACAGATAATAGGAAATGTATACATCTGAAGAACACAAGTTTGTTCAATTCAGAAAAATCAGATTGTAGGAAAAAAAATTAAAATTGCTGGACGCAAAGAGCATGACACTAAAATGAAAACAAGAACTAGGTCCCGATGTGACAAAAATATCTCTTACTTTAATTGATATGATCCATCAGATAAGTAGAGCATTGTAAGAATTGCTCTTACCCCAGGACTATTTGGAGACACATATTCTTCTCCTTTGCTCAAAATGCTAAAATGATTGAAGTCCAGTTCGTACATATCTTCACATCCATGCCTTATGCCAAGTGATGCAAAAACTATAATTTTCCTTATAGTGTGGGACTGAGCATTTTTTTGTAGAAGGGATTCAGACTCAATTATCCTTTTCACTTCTTTTGGGCAGAAAGCAACCTTCAGAGGCTTTCTATTCTGTGATATACGTGCAGATCCAGAGGAAGGGACCTCAAGTCCTGCTGTAAATGCGTCACTCTCCTTAATTTCTTTCCCTTGGAGTGTTTTGTTTGCACTCTTATTGGATGATGGAGCAAGTAATATGCAACTGGTCTTTTGATTTTCATGATCTTCTTGTCTCACAGTACTGGCTTGATCGCCAGAAAATTTTCCCATGCTTGTTGTAATTGATTCCTCGTCAACATGATTAGCATCGTAACCTTTTTGTGCACCAACAGTTTCATTTGTTTCATCAACTTCCTCATGTTTTTGGCTATTTTCCATATCATCATCAAAATTTTCATCACATGCATCATCACTATCCGTTTCATTAAAATCTGCAACAGAGTTGCACTCCTTAAATTTTTCAGCAAACAAATTTTGACCATTGTCCATGCTCATCCAATTAACTAAGCGCTTTGCTGGATCAATCTCCTTAGGATCAATGCCTTCAGTATCAGGCTTGTACTCTGAGGCCGTTTCACTTTCCACAGTATTCCTTTTTTTATCATCATCTACTACTTCCATCTTCTGCCTCTTGAAATTCTTGAAGCTTCTTGCAACTGGATGATGATGATTTTCCTGATACCAAGGGAGACATTTTCACCTTTAATAATAAAACGGATGAAGACCTCAACAATCAGGAACGTAAATATTAATTAAAAGGGGCGTCATGGTGATAAAGTTTCTAATGTGTCATCAAATCTTGGTCATCATAGTTGATATGAGTCTCAAATGTTCAATATGGATACGCATAACACATATATCATTCCTTCACACTCCGACCAACAATACTTAGATTCCAGCATGCAATGTGTAGATAGCATATATGCTAAATGGTAAAATATAACAATGCTTTGCAGCTGGCTCATCAAGTTAGGAAATGCATTTTAATACATAAAACTAAGTTTAAACTAGCAAGAACTTATTTAAGCTAGAATAGAATTGCAAACAAGAAAAACTAGTTAATTAATCAACTAACCGTACTTGAGATTCCTTGCTTCTTTCTCTTAACTGAGCTTCGAGCATTGATATTCTCTCCATGAGCTCTGCATTCTTCTTCCTTTCCCTTTCCAACTCGGCTGAAATCTCAGCAACAACATTGACACTATCTCCCCTCACTTCTTGCTCTATAGCACACAATGCTGAGGCATTGACCAAAGTAGCACAAGATTGGAGTTGTACCATTCGGAATTAAGTTAAATGATTGCGTAAAGTGACAGATAGATACCCTATAACCACTGATTAAGAATAGTAAAAAAAACCTTGAATGAAATCAATTCAACCGCCAAAATTCTCCCAAAAAAGAAAATTGCAGTTCCAAATCAGAACTAATAACAACAATGGTACGTAAAACAAAACTTGGTTTGCTTATGTTAAGAAATAATATGATTGGAACGCATAACGTTAAGGTCTTTTACCAAAGCATATATATTCTTTACAGTTGATTATTTATTGGCATGAAAAATGGATTCTGAAATGGACTATTTGAGTAGAAAACGTGTATTGGGAAACATAAGTGTATAACGGTGGAATATGTAAAGAAAAGAAGAGGTTTCACTCTAAGCGAAGGCCAAGAAGAGAAGTTAAACTCGTTAGCCAATGCTAATAGACACAGGCAAATGGCATGATAGTGATCTTAATGCAAGCAAGATGAAGTTCTTTTTATTTTGAGTTTTGATTAATATCATTTCTTAGTTTCGTAAAAGAAAAAGAGCACAGCGAGAGGTAAGGCATGCATTAGCATCACCACGTGCGCTTCTCTCTCTATATCATTGTATTCCGAGCCACACTTTTGCTAGTAACTTCAGATCGTAGAAAAGCGAAATCTTTAACGCGTTTGTCTCACGACTTCACTATCCCAGAAGCTTAATAAGTCATATTCCAACCTCTTAGGCTTAAAGGGTGGACAAATTACATGTGTATCTAAATTAAAATCAATTTTTTTCTCGTATTAGAAGAATAGTTTTACATTTCTAATCGTTCTCTTCTGTGTGATTTTATGTGATTTAAGATTTCTCTTGTTCCAAAATCCAAGCCCACTAGCTACAAGTTCTATATAATAATAATTTGTCTTTCCCAGATATATAGATAAAGAAAGGGAGTGCACACGTGCATATTCATATAATATTATAGGTGGTGGGATGCATAATAGGTGGTATAAAAAACAACCTCACGTGGATCAGTAACTTAAATGGTTGTCTCTTAATACAATTTTTGTCAGGGGAATATGAAGCTAAAACCTTGGATACCATCTTATTAATATTAAACAAACTTGATTAGCGTCAGGCATTTCTCCTTTTGCAACAATTGGTGCGCCCTTTGATTATTCTTAGGAGCTGTGGCCTGTTTCTTTGAGGTTGCCCCAAGAAATGAAATATCTGAAACTTCGGACCCACGATTCTACTGACTTCTCAGGGTTATTTAAAAAGTACAAAAAAGAAACAAACAAAAACTCTCTTGTGATCACTGCATTTCTAGCTTCTTTTGCTCAACAGACCATCATAAGATGCAGCTGTTCTCTGTGTGGAATACTGCACTTTCTTGTCATCAAGGTCACCCTTTTGGCAGGTGTTCAATAAGTTGACATTAACTTAGTTCAGTTTTGTACATTTGAGAGTGAAAAACCAAAATGTACTGAACACATTTAACATACCATATATATGTGGTAAATTTAAAAAATTACAAGATACTGACATGACTGTAACATAATATCCAAAAACAATATAACGCCTAGATCTTAAATCAAAAGGGAACAAAAATTAAAGTTTTAAAACTGAATATGAATCATTGCAAACATAATTAAATGATCTCATTTAATTGTTGTGACATTCCTACTTATATTTTTGTGCACAGAGTCTATTTAGCAAGGTCAACTGTTGGTTTACAATGGACTTGCTAGCATTTGTTTCATCAACTAAGTCATTCCGAAGACACTACTGTTGAAGTAAAAATGTTTGAGCTTATGATGTATAACCCTCTCATGTTTTCCTTTGCTGTTTTAATTCAAGTCTTTTCTTTTTTTATCCTCTCGAAAAAAATCCAATAAGTATTATACATATTTCACATACCAAATTAAAAGTTCACATTACTGGATGTTGTGGCATGTCACGATTACAATACATTATATCGATAAAAGATGAATCTGGGGCAATATGACGTATAGAGGAACTTCTGAAGAAAACAAAAAAACCATTTTAATCTTTTACATAAAATTAAATTAAAGCAAATCAAAGTGTATAACTTTATAATTATTTTGAAATATTATATATGTGAATAAATAGAAATTATGTATAAAAAAACATCACATTCTCTTTAATATAATTTTATATTTATCTGACTAATTTAACTGCTAATTTTACCCTTACTTCAAATGTAATCAACTTGTTTATCAGATATTCTCATATAAACTCTGCTGTTAGGTATGGAGTATGCTGTAAGCTATCTAATCCACTATTTATTATTTTTTGTCAAACAGCCAAATTTATAAAAAAATAAAAATAAAAATAAAAAAATTGAAAAGTAAACAAAATACTATTAAGAATATTCAAACCATTTAAATAATTGAGATAAACTCCCTAAAATATATCACAATAGAATAATATAGACCATAAAAGCTAGGGGGTGATTAGCCTCTGAAGATAGCCCTAATGAATAGGGAGTAAAAGAAGAAAATATAGCATTTGCACAAACGATTAATTAACATTATGTGAACTAAGCATTCAAGTTTGCGCTTCAATATAATAAGAAAAATAGTTACCTCCCCTAATTACTTGTTACTAGGCCACAACAAAAATGATAACTCTATGATCTTAATATAAAATTCAGTCTTCCATAAGACACTTATAGAATGTAACAGCTGAAAACTAAATGTATACAGAAGTACTACAGAACAAGAAATCCGACAGGCACAATAGCAACCTTGTACGCAAATTGGGATTGCAAAGAAATATCATCAATGCATGAAGTGGCCTGACACACATTGGTGGAGATAATGCTTTTTCCCAACAATAATAAGTCACTACTCAACCAATCAGTGGATTTAAAGTAGTTGTCCCTGGTGTGGCATTCCACTTCTCATCATTGCACAGAATTCCTCATAGTTTATTCTCCCATCCTGTTAGTTTGAGAATTATTAGTAACAAATGATGTTTTGTACCATGATTAAACAAACTACAACAAACTTACATTATCTGTATCCACCTCAGAGATTATTTCCTTTATTGTTGCTTCATCACCCATTCCATGTTGAGTCATAGCTGTCTCCAATTCATCTCTAGTAATGTACCTGTCCATGAATTTAAAGACCATTTTCATCCATCAACCTTGTGTGCCCCTCAAATCAGACCATCAGGTATTTGATATAGCCTTAAAGCGAACTAATGCAGTTTAATATGGAAATGTTAATAATAAAAAGTACTGTCTAATATGGACATAGAGACTAACATCAAATTCAAAGGACAACATCTCATTGAAAATTTGTCTACCGCATTGACGAACTCAACTAAAGTCAAATCAGTGGATAAAACAGTTCAAAAATATGACGATGGGTTTGTGAGTATAAACAACATTATCTAGTTGTCCAAACACAGATGGTTAGAAAGAAATTGCAATATGAAAAACACTAAAAATACCAGTAATGTAATACTCACCCACTGTTATCCGTATCAAAATACTGGAATGCTTTATAAAGATGGTCATCACGTTCAAGTCTGTGCCTATGCATTGTAGCTGAAATGAATTCAAGATAGTCTATTGACCCATTTCCATCAACATCAGCCTGAGAAAAAATATACATGAGAACAACAATGCTGTGTTCAATATACAATGAATACACATATGTTCAACTAGTTATGCTCTTGGTAAGGATATATAACTAACAACTACTTACAGCATCCATGAGTTGCTTCACTTCAGCCTCGGATAATGTTGATCCAATTCGAGCCAAGCCAGTCTTCAATTCTTCATAGGTGATTGTGCCACTATTGTCTGTGTCCATATTTGCAAACATTGCTTTCAGACCTTTAATCTCCTCTTCTGATAGATTTTCAGCAATAACCTAGAGAAATTTCCACCAATGTCAGTAATGGAGAAATATTTTTAGAGAGAAAAATAAATTGCAACAAGTAACTCATAAAATGCTTCTCAGCAGCATGCAATAAATAGAGGGGATATCTTTCAGAATGAAAGGGAATCTAGAAACCTAGAAGGACAGATACAATGCAAATATATAGTATAATGTATAAAATTATAATTTATTAAACACAAATATTTAATCAAAAGAGAGAACTGAACTTCTAAAAATGAGCTCAAGTCATAATAGGTGTAGAAGTAATAAGATGCTTTGGTTTATCTAATTATTATTGTATTATTATCGGAATAGAACTGCAGGTATAGAAGTTTTAAAAATAACATGAAATAAGGAATAATTTTAGTGTTTGTACTTCCGTGCCAGAAAGTTGAAAACTTCGGGACACCGGTTTTCCTGTATTATAATCATATCAATAGAATAGACAATGTGAGTTTTACAACACAGGTCCCACATTCCATAAAATTGTTGTATTAAATATGATGAAAAGAAATTGCAAAGGGCCAGTTGAAAAGGCATTATTAAGTTGTTTCAAGTAAAAGCAACAAAGGTTTATTTACCAAAGAGTACAAACAAAAGTACATTCATAGTTTTGTAGCTATAGTCATATTCCATAATGGGTAAGTTTAAATTTGTATGTGTGCAGAATATAAAAGCTGAAATAGAAAGAGAAATCATCATCCCTCAACAATATCAAGGACCATCAGAAAAGGACAATGACAGTAGGTATTTTTAATCCAAATTTGATGCCATACCTTCAATGCTAACTTCTTGAGCTTATTCATTGCCCTGAATTGTTTCATTCTGGATAGAACTGCATTATCGATTGGTTTATCCGATGCCTCTCCACCTTCTCTCATCCATGGGTGTTCTTAGCAAACAAATCATCAATCTTAATCAGGTTTAGTTTGACAAAAACTAGACAAAACAGTGTCAACTCAAATGATTAATGAGAATTTACTTAGTTGATGATATTTTCACCGTAACTTATTGTTGGTATGCTATTAACATTTCTCTGGATAGTATTTTGCTTGTTGTTTCTTACTTTTACAGTTCAACACACAAAGTAAACTATTCTTGCTTCCTGTATGTTACATAACTTGGAAAAGTAGATCCACCAAAAGCAGCACTCACAAAATTTGTAACAAAAACTGAAAGGAGGACAAGTAAACTGCTAAACTAATACTAACAAAAAGAATAGCACTAAATAAATAATGCATTGATGAAAGTTACTTGAGTCAAATTAGAAACAGTAGTCTAATACCAAGGACTTGCGCAGAAGTAATCCGCTTCTTTGGATCCTGTGTCAGCATCTTCCTGACTAGATCTTTAGCACTGTCTGATATGGATGGCCATGGTTCACTTACAAAATCAATTTCACCTTCCAATATGGCGTTAAATATTCCCTTTTCAGTTTCTGCAAAAGATATGAACAACATATTCTCACCCAATTGTATGTTGAAGGGTTAAATTTTAAATAAGAAACTCAACAATAAACAATAGCTATGCAACATTATCAAACTACAATTAAATCTTACCAGCCCAGAAAGGTGGTACACCACTGAGAAGAATATACAATATGACACCTGCACTCCAAATATCTATTTCCTTTCCATAACTGCGACGCAATACCTCAGGAGCAACATAGTATGCACTGCCAACCATATCATGGTATACCTTCCCTGAAAATTTAGAAAATACTATGAATTATCACATTCAAATTGTGAAAGTAATGGCCGTATCAGGTAACAATATGTAAGTCCTTTAGAACCACCATAGCAGTTAAAAGCAATTAGAATTCAACATAAGCTATAACGAAAATGGATAAAATTATTCAATCCTGTGGATACACTTCAAAATCACCTGCTGAAAAGGAATTAGAAAGCAATGTAGCATCGGATCTAAAATTTGTCTAAAAGCAAACAAAATGTCACCTACATTACAAAATCAAATATAATTTTTACAATAGCTGTCCTGATAAGAATCCTACATCAAAAATCAATCTAACTCCAATTAGTCCATAGTATAGAATCGTCTGTTCCAAATCCAAGAATCAACAAGGTAGCTAATAGCTATCAAGGTGATATCTACAATTATAAGATAAACAAACATCTCACAATCCACGGAGTGTGTGGGCCTTTAAATTCCCAAATATCACAGGTCACGTTAGAATAAGTTTGACCTGACGATAAAACTCTAAAAATATATCCTCTCAATATTCTTAAGAGTTGATCAGTCAACTTAATCTTGATGCCCAAATGGTTCATCAGTGAAGTAAGGAGCACAAATACAGGACAAAAAAAATCAGCATCCAAAGTAGCACAACAATGCCAGCAACAAATAAACTAATCAGAAATAAACAACATTGCAACGAAAAATGAACAAAATTTCTAGCATGGTTCACCGCTCACTGCCTGCCCCCTGAATATCTAAAGCAAACAGTGGTGACACTTAAGATTAGGAGGGGTGAAAGTGAAAGTACTGGGAACCTTCTTCAATGAAAACAGAGAGTCCAAAATCAGTTGCCTTGAGCGTAGCGTCCTCATCCTTTGTAGAGAGCAAGAAATTTTCGGGCTTGAGATCGCGGTGCATAACTCCCATGAAGTGGCAAATGTGAACAACATTGACAACGGCACGGCAGAGGGCGGCGGCGGCTCTCTCGGAGTAGTGGCCCTGGGCGATGATCCGGTCGAAGAGCTCCCCGCCGGCGCAGAGTTCCATGACAAGGTGGACCGACATCCTGTCCTCGTACGCCCCTTTGAACTCCACAATATTGTTCTGCCCCGACAAATGCTGCATGATCTGAATCTCCCTCTTCATGTCCTCCCTGTCCGCCTTCGACACCAGCTTCCTCTTCAGAATCGACTTGCACGCGTACGTCATACCGCTTGCATTCTCCGTGCACAGATACGTTATCCCGAATTGCCCTCTTCCCAGTTCCTTCCCCAAACTGTAGTACTTCTTTATATCCTCAAAGGGTTTCCCCAGAATCGTCGTGTCGGGTTTCTGCACCGCCCTCGCATTCTGGGTCTGTGAAAGTTTCGGTTTTGGTGAACTCGCTACTACCTCTGACTGTGGTTGTGGTTTGGGTTGTGCTGATGTTTGAACCTGAGTAGCAGCGGTGGTAGATGGTGGTTGAACAGTGTTGTAACCAGCACTGCCACTACCACTTCCAGTGCCTGATCCATAGGCACCGCTGAATTCTGCGCTTGATTTTTTCTCCTTGCTACTATGACAACCCATTTTCTCTTCGGAAGGATTTGGGAGAAGATTGAGAGAATGAGATGGAAGAAGGAGGTAGTTTACAGAGGTGATTTGGGTAGAAAGTAGAAAAGGGAGATAAAAGGCAGCTTGTGTCCAAGTCCAACCGATGGTGACACTGTCAACACTCCGCTGTAAGAAACTTTGAATATTTTCGAATCCAACCAAATTATCTTTAAAAGACAATTTTAAATAAATTAATTAACAAAAAGGTAGATGATGACACTCCAAGAAAAGGAAAGAGTGGTGCAAATAATTTGGTCTGGTTTGGTTTGGTTTTAGTTGATTACAGATCATTGTCACGTATCTCACTTTCTCAACTCCCAACCTCATATTCACCCTTCACTCTGCTAGTTACCTTATTATTATTATTATTATTATTATTATTATTATTATTATTATTATTATTATTATTATTATTATTATTATTATAAATTCTTTAAAATATACTACGACAAAATGTTAATTTATAAAAAATGTACATATTTTTAATATTAGTTTATCTATATATAATTTTGGAATTATCTATATAGCAAGACTTTAATTTATTAAGTAGAAAATGAAACACAGTACATAAACTATAAAATTTTAATGATTATATTAAATTGAAATACCAAATAGGAAGATATATAAAAATATTAATTAAATTGGGACCATTACTTTTGACAATAAATGTTCCTAGTTTTTATTTGAAGAAATAACGTGATTTTCTTAATCTAGAGATTTCCGTTTGATTGTGGTATTAATTCATTACTGTTACATTTATTTGTGACACTCATAGTCTTGTGAGAATCAGATCTAACGTGACGGTTATAGAAGAGAAGAGAAATAGGGAACAATAAATTAAAGAGATGGAAGAAAATAAATATCTCTCCCTTTTATTATTTTATATTCGGGATTAAAAATTTGATTTCTGTGTTGAATATTTAAGATAAAAAATTGTCCCACGAATATTACCAAAAAAATAATTAAAAAAAAGGTTGTTTATAATGTCAGTTTTACTAAATCCGGGCGGCTATCTTTTGTTGGGCTAAAGGGGATATTGGGCTTAAAGTTTCATTTCCACTGAACTGGGTTCATAATTTTTCTTGGTGATAACTGGGCTCTTACTTTTGTCCAAATATTCAAAATGACGGTTTTTACACCCCCAAAATTAGAGTTGTTAAAATCACAAATAATTAGCTCTCACCTCCTCTCTCTGATTCTATAGATTTTATTTTATTTTCTTTCTAATTCATGTTCCTCTCTTTTGTGTCCTTGTCTGGTTGGAGAGGAGGTGTTGGGATTTTAATAAGATTTGGTATGATATTTTTCTTGCCATAGAGGAATACTTTGAAGGAGTATAATAAGTGTAATTTAAAGTAGGATTGACTGTTATTAATAATTTGATTTAAAATATTATTTTATTTAATAATTATATTGGAAGTATGATTTATATGAAAGAAACTTGTAATTGAATGATAAGTCTTTAGGTAAAAAGTAATTAAAAATATGAAATAATATATAAATGAGTTTAATTCACTATATGTATTACGTGTCTTTCCTGAAAACGAAGTAATTATTTAACGTAATTCATCTTTTAACTTGAAACATACATGTCATGGTTATAAAATTTGATTGATTAATAATAGTCTACGACATTATTACTTTGGTTGAAGCGTGATGGATGTATCAGGTTTATTAGGTGTATCGATGAATTTACTGTTGAATTTGAAGGTAATATTTTAGGTGTAAAATAATGTTGTTTATATTTTGGGTTAAGATTTTGTGGAAGTGCAAGTGTAAGGAGGAAAAGTAGGGAAATTTAATGAGCGTGGGCATAACTTGCCTTTTATGTTTGGGTGTGCAATAAACGTTTGTTGTTAATAAAGCATGGTTCCATTCCAGCGTAGAAGAAGAGAAAGAGAGTTGGAGTGGTAGTGTTGTGTTGAATTGGGCAAAGGGTGGCACAAAGCCACAAACAAACTATATCTACAAAGATCTCTATCAAGGAAGAGTGCAAAACCAGTGGTGATAAAGGCACCTGAGTTGTGAGCCCAACAACATGTATGAGTAGCGTCATTTTCATGCAAAAGAAGGGTGCAACCCATTAAAGTCTTGGACCCTTGTTAAGCTCTACCAATCCATCACTTTTCCATTAAAAGCATTTCGTCTTCTTCACAACATATTTCTAATGGAATATACGCATTTCAGTATGTTTAGTCCAGTTAGTTAATTACTCCTTTTCGGCCTCAAGTAAGTATAATCATTCAAAACTAAAACAAAATCAAAATTAGGTTATTGTTTCAAAAAGGTGGTAATTTTGAGAATATATGTGATTCTCAGCATTTGCACAAGAACCAACCAACAAACAAAGTTCCATTGGAGACTTTCTTTTCATGCTTCATGCTTCCCTTTGGGACGTCACCCAGTTTATTAAAACTTTTGGCCCTTGATTAAAATGAAGGAGAACAGAGAATAGTGAAATCCTTTTCAGATTTTAAAACATCATATCCTTTCTCATCTCATCTCATGTGATACTGGAATAGAATACAGATCAAATTCCTTTTCCAAAATATGCTTAAACTCATGTTTTCCGGCTCCAACTCTCGTAACCTCCTCCACCAACCCATTCAATTTTAATACTAACGCACATCAGAAAAATCAAACTCCAAAAAGGAAAAATTAACACTAAATCTATCTGTTTAAATTTTCCAAATTTCCCCAAAATTTTTTAAATCAACCACCACCCATAATTATAAGGATCCACGAATGTTTCAAAAACCGAACCGGAGCAAATAAACTCAGCCGTTGAATCCGGTCTGGCTCCAAACGGCGTCGCGAACCCGTCTCATGTCGCGGCCCTTTAACGTGCGCCCCACGCCCTCGAAAACGGAGTTCGCCGCCATCTTGCGGCTGCGCGCGAGGTACTCGTGCGGCGGAACCATCTCGGAATCGTTGTCGTCGAATGCGTCGTCCATATCGTGCAGCGACTCGACCGAGTCGACCCGGAGGATCTTGCTCCAGTCGGGCACGTTCACGGGCGCTGAAGTGGCCATTTGGTGTTGGCGTCCACGTGGCGACGACGAAACGGCGTCGTGCTGCGCGCGGTACTGGTGGTGCACGATTCTCGTGCCACCACCACCGCCACCGGACCCATTCGGATCCTCGAACGCCAACGACAAGCCCCCCACGTGGCGGTGTCCCTGTTGCTCCCGGCTGTTCCGTCGCCGCGGCCACGCGCGTGGCTCCCACTCGCCGGGCGAGGCATTGACGTCTCCTTCGCGGTCTTCCGGCGTGAACCACACGTCCTCTTCCCGGAACTCGGAGGGGTCGACGGAGGCGGCGGAGCCCTGGGAGGAATAGGTTGTTCCCAAGAAGCGCTCGCTTCGGGTCGTGGTGGGGAATTTGCGACCCTTGGCCATTTGCGCTTCTTCTTCTTTTTCTTGTTCTTGGAACCAGGCTTTGCTTTGGCATAAGCTTTGAGCGTAGTGGTGGAGGTGTTTATATAGCCTCTTTTTCTATGTCTCTAATTTCATTTCAATTTGAGTTTCGCCTTCATTTTGTCTGCATTTCCTCCCATCTTGTTCTGTTAAAATTTAAGTTGTGACGCTGTCACAGTCAAAATAACTCATGTAACAATTTTCAAAATAGATACCAAAACACAACATTGCCTTTGCCTGTTACTCATCTTTTCTCTCCTCTTCCTCAACAATTCAATTGGACTTCTTCATCCATAAATAATAAGTATCATATATTCATTAACATAACTTTGTTTATTAAGAATATTTTATTCGGTGAATAACAGTAGCAAAGTATTTGGTTTGGTACAATTATTTCAGTAGCATGGGCCTCGAAGATGTCAAAGCATGTATTATCCTTCTTTCTTTCTTTTTCTAAATCTAGCTCTGCTAAAATATAAACGAACTAAAACAACAAAAATAATGGAAAACATAGGTGTCCAATTCAGTGAGAGATAACGAATCTGTTAGCTTTTATTCAACAATATATAAAAGAACAAAATTAATAAAAAAATAGGAGAGAATCCAAATGGTTAATTGTTAACGTAAGAGAAATGTTAGTAAAATACTTTTAAAGCCATCTTTCAAATGTAGTTTTTATTAATTTTTTAATACCACAATATACTTTGTATTGGATGTTGTTATAGTGTCAAAGAATAAGTGAAAAATGTTTTACTGGTAATTTCACCTGAAATACTTGGGTGTTTGGTTATTACGTGTGGGACCATGTAATAAGGAAGAGAAGATAATGCAATAATCCAGTTCCGCAGACCCACGTTGGCTTCTTCCATTAGTTTTCCATTTTTGACGTTGGTCGCTATAATTGGCGTAAGGAGATTTCTTTGTTTTCTACTTCTAGTCACTGCTATTGACACTTGAGGATTCACATTTTTCTTCCACTCACCTCAAATTTCAAAAGAAATAAACAAGTTGGTTTGTATGGAATACGAATGAGTGAAGGGGTTATTTTAAAGTGTTGGTTAGTGGATTAGAATATTTGGAAAGCATGATTCTAGTCAACCAGATCATATATATAGTTCATGCGATCACCGTAGTATTTTTTTGGTGCAATCCTTTATTATTATTATTTTAAATGAATAGGTAGGAGGAGTTGAAAAAACAACTCCATAAGGCGTGTTTTACAATTGTATGGGTATTACTCTGATGCAATTATTATGATGAAGTAAGTTTGAGTGCGTGAAATGGATCCAAATGCAATAAAGATCCGACCCTCCACGTGGGTAGCGTATGTGAACTATGTTGTTGTGCAACCTCTTACTACCCACCACGTGTAAGATTCTGGAAGAACAGGACCGTGGATGGTGTCTCAATCCCTCCACGTGGGTACACAATGACAGGTTGTGATTTTTTGCGAAAATAAGGTTGCAGATGTGGGAGGAAGGAAGAAGATAATGAAAAAACTAATCAATCATGATAACGACACCCAATTCAATTCAGTTCAATCACCCAGCAACACCAACACCAACACCAACACAACACATCACAACACGCTCTGATTAAGTAACTAACTCATGGATGGATGGATGGATGGATGATTAGAGATTTATAAACGGCATCTTCTTCAAAGAAAATCAAAATCTAGAGAAAGAGGAAGTAGAGAGAGTGAGTGAGAGAGCCACATTGAGCGGTTCACAATTTGGTTTCGGCTTGTGTGGGACCCACGGGGTGGGAGCTGTCGTATTCTGAGTTCAAAACCAAGAAGGACGTTATTATTATGCTGTAATAATAATAAAACAAAAATAAATAAATAATGTTTGTGAATGAAGTAGCACGGGGCTTGGGCCCAGGCCCGGTACGAGTCAGAAAGCTTTACCCAAATGGCCAACTATATTTATTTAGGTCCGGAAGTGCGGGATTGGGTGATGATGGTTTCGTCACGGTAACTGTGCCTGTAAACAGCCATCTTTTAAATGCACTATTCATTATTGATGAGAGGAGTATGCTTTCTTTCACAGGTTTTCTATGGGCCTTGGATTGTGGAGTGGGCCATACCGCAGGAAATGGTTGGATTTGGCAGGAGTGGGCCCCTGGGCCCTAGGTCCAACTCTGCTAGACTTAGACCCGTCAGTGCAAGCAAAAGCATCCTATGCTATGCTTTTATTCTGAGCCATCTATTGCGTTTTGTACTTGGCAATGCCAGTGGCTATGGCTATGGCTATGGCTATGGCATTTGTTTTGTTAGTGAAAGAATGAGAAAAGTTGAGACATGGCGGCTTCACAACATAACGAATGGGCCACAGTGAGAAAATAACCCCAGAACTCAGGAAATCCCCCACCCCATGTTCATGTTGCATAGCCAAACGACATTCAATACAATAATAAACTTCGCAAGTAGAATGATTCACTACTATGTTCCTAACTTTATGAACAACGACACCCCAGAAACTGCCACAGATATGTGTTTACTTGTGTCAGTCCAGGGATTCATCTGATGCTACAAAATCATAATATTAATATTAATTGTTATTACCATGCAATAACACATATATAGCTAAGGTACGTGCATGTTTATAATTTTGCAGGATCTGAATCAGAATCTAACCTGTTTTTGTTGCATAAGCCACCCTGGTACTCGGCATGTGGTGTGGTAGATATCATGCTTTCCAGGTAAGTTGGTTTGGTGTATTTGTTCTTGGCAGATTTGAATTAGATGTAGCAAAGTACTATTTTGGTTAAAAGCTAGTTTTATGATGCATATATATATATATATATATATATATATATATATATATATATATATATATATATATATATTAGATTAGGCTAACAGCGTTGTTCCAGCATTGGAGAGTGTATTGTAACAATTGTATATGCAGTGGACAGAATCTCCAACAAGGGCTTTGTCTGGTACTTGGAAATCATTTTTTAATCACCATATATTCCTCTATATCCCTGTATTATTTTCAAATTACTTTTCTTTAATATATGTGAATTTTGTCATATATTCATCAAATTAGTGCAACAGAGTTTTCATAAAAACTAGTTAGCTGGTCATGTGGTGGTTAGCTTCACTTTCAAACGTTAAGATACAATATTTTATTTAAATGGGTTATTTTTCTCACACGTCTTTTTCTTATTTCATGAAATGTCACTTGTGAGATTTTATGTTAAATAAAATTAGATTAATTATTTATTTTTTATATCTTTAATTAAGTTATATTTGTTTTTCTTATCATCTTCAAAAAAATTTAAAATATGACTAATGATGCATCACTATATGTTGAAGAGCGTGAGCGTAAAAATAACTTTAGAAAGTAGGAACCTGAAATTTGACAATAAAATTTACACAACTTTCTATATTAAAGACACTAAAAACACATATTATGATAATTTTGTTGGGGAAAATATATAAGTGCATTGTAGTTATCAAATAAACAGTGAATTATATAGTGTATTATACACTCTAATTATTACAATTCAAATAATAAATAAGTAATTAGAAAAAAATGGAAATTGATTTAGTGAAAACATAGTTTTTTTTCTAAACATAAATCATTCTTTAAATTGAACTTATTCATTCATTCATTTATAATTAATATTATTATTGTTATTATTTTATGTAATTCATTACATATAAGCTATCTATAACAAATCTAGTTATTTTTTTAAGATAAAATAACTGAAAGATTATTTTAGTTGTTTAATGTATAATAATGTTGTTTGTATTACATATTATATTTTTAATTTAATTGTTTATTAGAACTTAATTTAAATTTAATACAATTAATCATTTTCAAGTTACAAAATTAAACATTCAAATACCAACTAATTCTAAAAATAACACTTTTAAGAATTAAAATTTTAAAATATTTTTTTATATAAAATTTGCAAGTATTTACTATATAGAGAAGTCCAAAATATAATTTAAGGGTACATAAATATAAAATAATAGCATGCTTTACAAATAAATATTTTCGTCTGATATTTTATTAAAAGAATTCTATGGCACGGGATAAGATTTATAACATGAAAACTAGTAAATTGTATTAAAGAAGAACGTGAAAAAAAAAAACTCTTATGAAGTGAATTGACTACATTAATTCCCTTGTAATCACATGTGTTGAATAAAGAAATGGAGAGGATCTTAATATTTTGACAGCATCAATAACATTTTTCTATTCAATATTATAAGTAAATTAGAGTAAATACACTAATAATGATTAAGGTTGTATACTCTTTCTTTTCAAGATATAGGAGGGTATGATTAGTTTTTATTTGAAGACTCTACCCTCCATTTAAAAGAAAACTTAAAAATTCTTATTCAATTTTAGGCATGTTTAATCATAAATTAAATTGTATATTAAATTTTATATAATTATTTTAGATATTTTATATCAATCACAGAATTGATGAAAATGTTATCTATATACGAAGTTATAACTTTTAAGGTAGAAAGACGACATATTATTTAAAATTTTTTTATTAAGTGATGTAATATACAGTTCTAAAAATTACAAATTGAAGACATTTTTATATTACTTATTTTTATAACCAATATAAAAAAAACATATAATATTATATATGTTTTTAATTAATTAATTTTCTTTCAATCACCTACAATTACAATAGATTTCAAAATATTCTACAATTAAATATATAACACATATTTATATATTTTAATTTTCACATTCAATAACATTTCTTTTATATTTAAAATAAAATATATTTCTATACAAAATTATTTTACTTTAAAACTATAAGAAAATATATTTAAAATATTAAAAATAAATGTATTTTTTTAATATAGTAGGAGAAATTTGAAGGATGGAATAAAACAAAAGAAATGATCATGAAGAATGGTGTTTGATTGATGGAGAAGTTTGAATATATGTCACAGAATTATATGGAGGAAATCAATTACTTGGCAGTATTACAGTTAAGATGAAAGAGAAGGAAGAAAAAAATAAATAAAAAGATATAAAAAAGGATGTGAGATGGATAAAAAGTAAAAAAGAAAATGTTAGATCGTTCTATTTTAATAATTTTTTTATCAATTCAAATAATAAATAATATAAAAAATATCTTGAATATTTATGGAATTATTATTATATTAAATTAATTTTACATTAATCTTGAACTCTAAATCGATATAATATAAATTATAATTTTTTTTAAAGTTCAATTTAAATATGTAAATTTTAATCTAAACATATTCTTAGTCTATCTATTTTATTGTCTTCAATAACTTCATTCCAATTTCCATTCTTCAGAAGAAAAAAGAAAAAGAAAAACATCTTATTCATATAAGAGAACAGTAAAAAACCTATAAATAGAATGAAATTAAAATAAAATAAAGACAAGTTTTGTGAATTGATGAAAACTCACCTGTATCAGATAGAATATTTTCTAGTGGAGGTCTCAACCGACACAAACTTTTTTCTGTTATTTTTCATGTATCTGAAAGAAGGGAGACAGCATTAGAATTTGGGAAATGAACCAACCAACCATGATGTTGGGCACAGCACCAACAACTATGTGTGTGGAGGGAGATAAACATGTGAGTGCAGTGGCATGCCTGGTCATGGTAGTAGCAGAGAGTTTCTTCATGAAGTGGGGTTCCCTTCTGGTATAATAATGAATATCTGGAAGTACAGTTTGCTACTGTGTAATGTAATGTAATGTAATGTGAATTATTTGTCTTCCATCTCATTCAAGCCCTATCAAATCATACTCTCTCTCACTCCTTTATTGGATTAAATAAGTCTGGACAAAATATTCTTTTTAATATATTTTACGAAACTAATCTTAGTTCTTCAAAATATTTAGGATCATAATAGCAATGAAAAAAGTTGATAAATTCTTTTGATATTTGATGGTAGAAAATCACAGTCGATAAAAATAAATAAATAATGTTGAGCATAACCTTTTATTATAAGAAAATAATTAAATTAAATACATATTAGTAAACAAAAAATTGCAATAAATATTAATTTATAATTAAATAATATAAATAGTGACTAAAATTTGGTCAATACAAAAATTTAGACACCGAAACGTGTGTCAGATTCAATGATCGAATATATTATCGATTTAATAACCGAATCTATCAATGACCAAATTAAATAACCAATTTTAACTAAGATGTACGTCATTAAATCATTCATTACTTTTTATTTTATTTTAAATTCATTTTACAAACAATATATACCGTTACACATGATTAACCGTTTATATACTCAAGATTTAAAATAATCAATTAAAAAATTAATAAAATGTTAAAAAGTTGACAACTATTTCAATTTATATTTTAAAAAGAATAAAAATTCATCTTATCCGTCTTCTTGTTTAATTAAATAGCTTTTGCAACTTAAAATTCTGCCGGTAAACAGTCAAATATTAGTTATTTAAATATCTATGAATCCAGTATTAATACACCATAAACAAATAAAAATATATTTTAACAAAAATTATATAAAATACAGTAATATTGGTCTTTTATTTTATTTGTTTAAGGTTATAAACATAAATGATTACATATAAGATTATCTTCATCTCCCTATCATTATTATTTTTATAAGTAATAGAGCATAGATTATTATCGATCTTGTTCATATTAAAATGTTTTGCAATTTATTAATATTATTTATCTTTCACATTACTTTATAATTTGTTATTATTTATTCATCATTTACATTTTTTTACTTTAAAATTTTACATATTTACATTTATTCCTTTCCTTTAATAATAGTGAAATTGAAAATAAAAAATCAATATCATCTATTTTCTAAAAATAACATATACATTTTTTTTAAAACACAATAAAAATTAATACTAATAATAATAAATTTATTTATTTTAAAAAACAAAAACTTCCTCTAGCAATTTATTTTAGATAATTTAATGATTTAAAATAATAAACAATCTTAATTATTATATTGTAATAAAATAATAACAACAAATAAAAATAGTTTTTTAATTCATATTCTCATAAAACTAAAAAAAATAATTGTAAATATTAACACTATTCAATATTTACTTTTGAAATGATAAAAAATGTTTACTAAAGTATATTTAGTGTTTCTTGATGTATGTTAACAGGCATACATAACAAAATAAATAAATAAATTAGACAATAAAGCATTTTAGAAATGCTAAGTTCAAACAAAATGTAATATAATTGTTCTGCCTAAAATACCATACGTGATAATCTCTTTAAGATAATAATAATAATAATAATAATAATAATAATAATAATAATAATAATAATAATAATAATAATAATACTAATAATAATAATAATAGTAATAATAATAAAATCTTAGTACAGTTATTATCATGAAGGAATAAGTTTGTGGTATTTTAAAACAGATTTTTATTGAAATTGGTATGTTTAAAAATATTTGTATACTTGATTATAATAAATATTTTAATTTATTTTTTATAATTGTTATTTATTTTTGAATTAACGTGTTAATATGTTAATTGTGATAATATTATATGTTAATTAGGATAAATACATGTGAAATATAGCTATTCAAGAATAATAAAACTAATATGAAATGAAAATTAACATAATTATTATAAAATTATCATAATTATTTGAATGCTTAATTTTTTTAAAATAAAAAAAAATAATATTTAACCCTGTTTTGAATTATTAAAGGCTGTGATTGACGTTGAATCAAGAGAACGATATAAACAAAATGGGCCTATGCTTATTATTTCATCTTAGCAACACTTCTTTTACTACCCCTCAAATTTCTAAGCGGTACACTAATGTATAAAAAAACGGATCCCCTTTTTATTTTATTTAATTTTCATTTTAAAAAAATATTTTTAAATAATAATTTTTAAAAATAAATAAAAATCTAATCATATTACTTAAAAAATATTTAAATATTTAAATAATATAAATAATTTATAATAATAAAAACAAATAATTTAATTTAATTATGTCATTGTTAGTTGAATTGAAATATATATATATATATATATATATATATATATATATATATATATATATATATATAATTTCATAATATTTAATAATAATTTTTGACGTTATTAAAAATATCAGATTATACATTAAAATTAAGTTATATAATAAACTTTGAAACGATTTAAAAATTGTATGGAATTATGTATTATTTAATAAAATATAAAATCTAATGTAATTTGATTAACCTTTATCCATTATCAAAATGGTCCTAATCCTATATATTTTGGCGCCTTTTGTCTTTTGTTTGGGCCCTCAGATTATTGGTTTCCTTCATCTTTATCCCTTCTTTCGGCTGCTTTAGTTAGCGATGACAAAAATGTGTCATTTTCAGAGTTTTAAGATTGGTCCACCAACTTCCATGGCAGCTATCATCAATCATATTACTGTAATACGCTCAAATTTTACACATTCTTCTTCCTTACCACTCTTCAAACATTGCGTGCTTTTATGCAGATCCTAATGGTCCTATATTTTTATTTCGGTATAAATTTAAGTGATAAATGAGATGCACATAAATGAGAGAAATCCAATTCCAATCATTGTCCCACACTATTGTAGATTTACTCAGCCCCCACCACCACCTTCATTTGTCAAAGATATAAACCATTTTTTTTTTCATTAAAGTAAGTAATTAAAATATATAAACAAAACTTTTAATTAAGACAAAGATAAAATTAATTATCAAATGGGATTAAATAAAGTTTCGTAAAAAATTTGAGGCTAAAAAAAAACATTAAACATTGTTATAAATAACTTACTCAAGAAAGAATTCGAAAAATATGTGGATTTATAAATTTATGCAAATCACGTTCAGATTTATGGAAGTAATCATGAAATCACCTACATCGATAAGAAAACTAAAAAATGTGCGGTATGATGAAAGGAAAGTTGTTTGTTGTGGGGCTCACACGGCATGGTAGCCATGACGTAGACAAAGCGAACACTGTCTTATATACTTCGTCATTAATTCAAATAATATTTTTATAGAAATTATATATTCAAAAATTTATATTAATATAAGTCATTTCATATCTTATTTATATAAATCAAAATAGACTTAATATATAATTTTTGAAATATACTAAAAGATATTTTTTTGTTTAATTTTAATAAAATTTAACATGAAAAATATACTATTATAATTTAATGAATAGACCAATAAATTTATTTTAATATAATTTATTATTCGTGTGAATTGATATCGTTTAATAAAAGTTACAAATTTTATAAAATTGAATTGTCAATATTGAAGAAAAAAACATAATCCTGTTAAAAAATATGGTTACATAGATAGAACTTGATCCTGCTTTGAATATATATTTATTAATTAATTAAATTATTGTATAATTAAGGCTCGCGTGGAGTAACCGGGTCCATCATAAAGATAGCGAACCATATCTGCCAGCAAAGAAAGACGCCAAAAATTATAGGCGCATCATCAGCAAAGAATGTTGGTGACTTTAACAAGTGAGTCTTAATAATTCAATCTGATTGATGGGTAAGAATTTCAGGCATTTAGGTTAACAGTTAAGGTAGCACAAGGAATGTAAATCATGCCATATCATGATTGCTTTGTTTTCCCGTGTTTTTACTGAAAGAGGTTATAATTGCCAGTTCAGTTCACACAATATCCTGCCATAACCATTTCATAAATTCTCCAGCTTGGGCCCGGAGGAAAGCAAGAGCAAAGCAACAATAGCCTCAGTACACAGTGATCATGAAATTGAACAAATTCTGAATCAAGAGATTACTAAAAAGTGTGCATAACATGATTTCAAGGTAATAATAATAATAATAATAATACCTCTAGCTACCAAAATGGTTTGGTTCTCTACAACAGAATCAACCACTCAAAATTCATGATGCTATCTAGTATCTAATATATGACTCTAGAATGATTACAATTACTCATAGGCTGAATAGACGGACAAACGCGAATAGCACAATGCTATTCTCGACAACTATAAGGGAAAATCTGTGATCAGGTGGTGTTTCTTCTGCAAATTTAGTCCACCAACCACCTTAGACAAAATTAAATTAATGGAATTTTATTCAAATCTGTTTGCATACTTGTTCTCTTTCAACCAAGGTCTTAAGCCAGCGGCTTAAGCATATGTTGCAACCGAGATTTCTGTTTCCGCACTCTTTCTTCCAAAGGGATTATCTTGGAATTGATTTTGGACGTACCTCGAGGCCATTCTATGCACCCTTTCATCCCACGAGTAATGTGCGGATTCAGTGAGTCTGCAAAATTGCGTGGTCCCAATAATTCCCATTGTCTAAACCCACTTTCACCAGAACCTTTACACATGAAAGTAGAACCAATCCCACCGCTCTTAACTGAACTTGTTGCGAATCTCCCTTCACACTCACCAAATGTAGGATCTTCAGAGTTTTGTTGTGCCATAAAAGAATCACAGTATTTGTAACAACCATCCTCTGATTTTTCACAACATTCTGCTTCACTCCCTGAGCCATTCACGTTTTGGTCAACATTGTCAAGATTATTATTGAGGCAATGATCTTCATCGAGACTTACAATGTAGACGGTGGAAGAGGGACCAATAAAACTGGAAGGGTAGTACGGTTGAACTCCAATCATCCTCTCTTTAACTTTGATCTCATCAGAAGTGTCGAAAACATAATTTGACTTAGTGAAATCACGTGACAGTTCAACATTGGCTGATTCAGGTGCACCCAGTTCTACACCTCTTGACCTTAAGAAACTTTGCAGATGTGCAATCAAGTGGATCATCTGAGTGTACTTATCTTCCAGGGCAAGTTTGGCATCAAGTAGCTTCATTTGAATGCTCTCTTCTCTCCACAGCTCTGCCATGTGAAACATCTTCCTCTCTTCCTCCATCTCCTCACGAATCCCCTCCAGCTTAGCTTTGTCTTCTCCTATTTGCATAGCCAATTTGTTGCACACTTCCTCTATTATTTCTCTTTTCCTCCTTTCCTCCTTGTAGTTAATCATAAATTGCTCAGCATATAGTTTTGCTTCGGCCAGCTCATGTACCAATTTGGAATTAAGTGATTCCATCCTCTCTCTACTTCTCCTTTCCCTGGCTAACTTATCCTTTAAGCTCTCTAACATTGCTTCATTCTTCTTCAGTTCTCGACGCTTCCAGAGAAATTTTTCCTCCTCAAGCTTTTTCTTACAGGATTTGTGTTCCGATTTGAGCTTGTTAATGCAGGTTTGAGCCCGAAGGAGCTCTGAGAGAAGAGCAGAGACAACAGAGCCACCAATTAATTTAGTTTCTCTAAGAAGCTTCCTACTATCACGTTTTCTAACTCCTTCTTCTGCGAGCTTGACACGCGGTGGAGACGATTGATGCTGACGACAGGGATCACCGAAAGTAAGGTTCTTGAATGCGTTGTAGTGAATAAATATATATTTTTTGGAGAATGAAAGGAGAGAATATGAATATTGTGAAGTGAAGAAATGGATGGGGGAATATACCTTGTGAAAAGAGGAAAGGTGGAAAAAGCGGAAGTGCCATAAACGTGCTGCAAGCTTCCTGGCGGAGAGGTGAATTTTGGGGGAGGGTCGGCGGAAGTTGACGGGAGAAGTGGCGGAAGGGAAGTCGCCGGAGCAAATTGGGCGTTTGCGAGTGTCGTTCATTGTTTGGTTGGGGAGTGAATGCGTGAGTCACGTTTGCGATTTTAGTGGTGTCTCCCATCAACGACAACAAACAAAGAAGCTCGCAATTTCGGATTTTGATCACACCGCTTACTCCTTATTTTTAAAGTGTTTAAAATTAAAAAGGTAAAAATAATGATGAAACAAACTCTTATGCCGTGACCTTATACGTAGCAAGGATGCAAAGAAAATAGTAGAAAAACAAATCCTTATTTAGATTGGTTTTATTTAAGAAACAAGAAAAATTACGTTGGCCAAACATGATCTATTCCTTCCATTTTTCTTTTGTTGGAAAGAAAGAAGAAAATACTTTATCATCCATATTAATATACAAAGCTACCAATTTTTATAAATGTATTTGCAGTGCTTATTTTTTATTATTTCTCTTCTTGAGTGTTGAATAAGTTTTTGAATATCCAAAAATCATTTTAATTATTATGCATACAGAATCAGTGGACGTTGTTATCTACCCGACTTACAGTACTTGGTTATATTGTTACCATCTAATTTTTGCAGATTATTTATCTTTACCCACAAAAGCTGAATATAAATTCAAGTTCCTCATCGAATTTTATCGGTTAATGTCTTAATCAAGTGACTTAGATCCAAATTATGTAATATCACTTTAAACTTATATTGTATGTGTTAAGGTTTTTAATACGGTAATAATGTATTTGTTGAATATATAGAAAATAGGATTTGAGATTAATCTCCCTTGTGTATAAATCACACAGACTAGTCTATTTATAATAGAGAGATACAACTAAAATAATAACTGAAAATAACATAATAAACAAAAGATATTGTTTGATATCATAGTTAACAATATCTAACAATATCTTAACAATATCAAATAATATCTAAACAATATCTAACATTCCCCTCAAGCTGGAGTATACAAATCATATGTGTCAAACTTGTTACAAATATAATCAATTCTAGACTCCCATAAAGATTTAGTAAAAATATCTGCTAACTTATCACTTGAGTTAACAAACTCAGTCTTGATGTCTCCAAACATAATCTTTTCTTGAATGAAATGACAGTCAATCTTAATGTGTTTGGTCCTCTCATGAAAGACAGGATTAGAACTAATACGAAGAGCAGTCTGATTGTCACACACAAGTGACATTTGAGTGATATCTCCAAACTGTAACTCTCTAAGCAATTGTTTGAGCCAAATAAGTTCACAGGCAGCTGAAGTCATAGCTCTATATTTTGCTTCTGTACTAGATCTTGCCACAACACTCTGTTTCTTACTTTTGCATGACACCAAATTACCACCAATGGAGACACAATATCCAGATGTAGATCTTCTATCCGAAGGAGATCCTGCCCAATCAGCATCTGAGTAGTAAACAACTCTTGTATGGTTATTAGAATCATATAACAATCCTTTTCCAAGATATCCTTTAATATACTTTAAGATACGAATGACTGCATTCCAATGATCTTCACATGGGGAATTAAGAAATTGGCTTACCACACTGACTACAAAGAAAATGTCAGGACGAGTAACTGTAAGATAATTCAATTTTTCAACCAATCTTCTATACTGCTTAGGATCAGGTATAAGCTCCCCCTGATTTGGTAGAAGTTTAGTATTGGGATCCATGGGTGTATCAACAGACTTTGAACTCATCAACCTAATTTCCTCCAAAATATCCATGACATACTTCCTCTGAGATATAACAATACTATCATTGGACTGTGTCACCTCAATACCCAAGAAATATTTAAGTTTGTCAAGATCTTTGGTCTGAAAATAGTGACAGAGATGTTGTTTCAACTGAGAGATATCATGATTGTCATTACCTGTAAGAACGATGTTATCAACATATACTATCAAGTAAACATATCCAGCACTCGAGTGTCGATAAAAGACAGAGTGATCTATTTCACAACGAGTCATACCAAATTGCTGAACAACCTTGCTAAACTTTCCAAACCAGGCCCTAGGAGACTGTTTTAGGCCATATAGGGATTTGCGAAGACGACATATCACCCCAGAAGACTCCCCCTGAGCAACAAACCCAGGAGGTTGCTCCATATATATTTCTTCTTGCAAATCACCATTGAGAAAAATATTTTTAACATCTAGTTGATAAATAAATCATTGTTGAAGAGCGGTCATGACGATAAATAAACGAACAGAAGTCATCTTTGTCACGGGGGAAAATGTATCTTCATAATCCAACCTAAAATTTTAAGTATAACCTTTGGCCACAAGACGAGTTTTGAAGCGATCAATAGTACCATGATGTCCAACTTTGATAGCAAACACTCCCCTGCAACCAACAACAGATTTCTCAGACGATAACGAGATCAAGTCCCAAGTTCCACTATTATGAAAATAATGATGAAACAAACTCTTATGCGGTGATCTTATAAGTAGCAAGGATGGAAAGAAAATAGTAGAAAAACAAATCCTTGTTTAGATTGGTTTTATTTAAGAAACAAGAAAAAGTACCTTGGACAAACATGATCTATTCCTTCCATTTTTGTTGGAAAGAAAGAAGAAAATACTTTATCATCCATATTAATATACAAAGGTACCAATTTTTATAAATGTATTTGAAGTGCTCATTTTTTATTATTTCTCTTCTTGAGTGTTGAACAAGTTTTTGAATATCCAAAAATCATTTTAATTATTATGCATACAGAATCAGTGGACGTTGTTATCTACCCGACTTACAGTACTTGGTTATATATATTCTTACCATCTAATTTCTGCAGATTATTTATCTTTACCCACAAAAGCTGAATATAAATTCAAGTTCCTCAACCAATTTTTATCGGTTAATGTCTTAATCAAGTGACTTAGATCCAAATTATGTAATATCACTTTAAACTTATATTGTATGTGATGAAGGTTTTCAATATGGTAATAATGTATTAAAAAGATTTTTCATTTCCTTTTGTCAGCAATATCATCATTAGTTTAATTGGTGATCTAAAGAAATCTTTAACTCATAAAACTAATATTTTTCAAAACCTTCCCAATTATAAAGATAATAATTATTTTTTTGTCTTTACAATTTTTTTTTTACTCTTAACTAACATTTAACTGCACAAAAAATAACATACTAATTACATATATTATTAATTATTTATTATTTTTGTTATATTCATCAGTTTATATTACTTAGTAATTAAGGTTAAAAATAATTTATAGGTATATATTTTTCATTTCTAACTCACAAAATCCTAGTTTATATATATTATATTTTTTTCTCATAATCTATCAAAATATTTTTAAGAATAAAATTAAAAACATGAATATATAAATCTTATACCTACTGTAATATCATTATTAATTATTTTAAATTAAGATTCATGAATAAGTTAAAATATTTATGTATATTATGCATGGATTATAAAATAAAACAGAAAGTTTTATTTATATAATTTATTTTGGTTCGTCTCAATTTCTCTCTTATAAGAGAGTAAGATAAATTGATTTATTTATTTTTATAGATATTTACTTATTAAAATAAAATAAATTATAATTTGAAATGCTATATTTTTATTATATTAATATAATATATAAATATATTATAATTTAAATTATAAATATTGATAAATTATTAATTATAATTTAATATTTTAATATAGAAATATAATAGTTTTTTAAATTTACTTAATAATAAAAATTTAAAAAATATTTATGTAATTAAAATGTTATATATATATATATATATATATATATATATATATATATATATATATATATATATATATCGATTAGCGAATTTATAATCCATTTTATCCTACCCATTTCAGGAAGAATAAAACGGACAAAATTTACCAGCCTATAAATTTTAGCTGACAAAACGTCATGGCGTAGCCTATTACCGTACATATCAAAAAGATAAGTAAAAATACGAAACAGTACACAATATTTCATATAATGCTTTTTTTTCTAAAAAAAAAAAGTAATATCACAATAACGATTTAATTGGATAAACTTAATTATGTGTCTTAGGTTATTATACATTTGAATTAAAATATATTTTTTAAAAGCTATACTTTATAACTTTTATGATATGAATTGTATAAAGATAAAAAATAGTCATCATTTTATCAGGACCAATTATGAGGACCTAAAACTATACCTTAAACACATGCAATTTTTTTCATTTTACAAAAGTTGTAATAACAAGTAGCTTTTATTAGCCGTATGTGCATTTAAGAAATACATATTACATTTTAAAAAGACATTTTGTTTAATGAATGTACCATTTAATTATATTGATAAGTTAATTGTTTATTGTATTTAATAAATATAATATTAATTACCGATCTACTCTCTGTTATTTATAAATAAATTATGGATTGGAGATTTGAACTTACATATGCAAAATTGTAGATGAACCTGTCATCAAACCTACATTATGTACACTCTTTATGTGGTGAGAATATATTTTTTTCATTATTGCAGCAGGTTTGTAAATGTGTTTATTGAGTTTTGGTGGAAGTTTTGGAAGTTATATTAGTATTTATGATTTTAACTTTAAAATTTAATAATTATTTTTAAAATTTTATGATTTATATTAATATTTATAATTTTAATTTTTTTTAAATTTAATAATCATTAAATATATTATTTATATATTTATAAATTTAATTTTTTATATATTTTTTTATATTTTTTTATTATTTATTAATAATATATTATTTATTAGGAAAGATTCCACTTATGCATACTAGATTTATAATTTAATATTCTAAATTTTTTAACTAAAAATAATATTATATTTTTAATTTTTTTATTAAAAATAATATCATATTCTTTTTAAATAATATATTTATAAGAATATATTCGAGTTAATTTATCGAATTAAAAATATTAAAAAAAAATTACTTGAGGTCTTGATGTTAGATAGTCCAATTCCATTTCTATTTTCCATTTTTTTTTTTTGCTGTGGGAGGCTATATATAGATTGTTTAATATAACATTTAAACTATTAATTGACTTATTTAATTGGAAACAATTTAGAATTGAAATAACAAAATATATACCCAGACACATTAATTCAGCCATATATTTATTGGCATGTCTTAATAGTCCAGTGAAAGTTATGATGCTTACATAAACAGTTTTGTTTACTTTGGCATTATAGAAAGACAAATATAACACGTGTAGAAGTTTTGGCCAATCGTTTTGTGTATGTTAGAGAAATTTTCATTTTTATTATCTTCATATATATAGTATTCATACATTGTATTGAATCCACAAATTCATTTTAAAGCAGTTCTGCGCTCCTCATTAATGACTTCTACAAATAAGGAAAAGAGTATTTGTAAAATATTAAAGTTCACTGTTTCACGACAAATGCATACACATCATATAACTTTAAAAAACAAAAACTCACTTTGACCACTGTTTCATTTCCATATGTCTTCAACATGTAATACCTCTTCTATTTGGATAGACAAATGGAGAATGATGTTTGGATTGAGATAAGAATAAGAATAATAATGGCTGATTCAATGATCAATCACTACTTTTTTTCTGTTTTTTTCCTCACTCCTTAAGATGCGACATTACCTCTTTAATTTCACACCCTGTAACAGAGATAAAAGCTTAGTCGTACACGACATACTCATGTTGTTTAATAATATCATACTATTTGGTCAAGGATGCCACCTTCAGCTGCCACGACCAAGAACGAGACCACATTCTAGGTGCCGTCATAAGAATTACAAAGAATAAATAAACTAATTAACTAATAATACCTATTCCCATCATCCATTTCCCTCACACCACTCTCTCTATATATATACCTATCAATATAAAACACATCCACCCTCACAAATCTCTATCATCACAACGCAAACTTATTAGTTCTTGGAATTAAATAACAAACACATTACCTGTGGTATATCATCTTCGTTTATTAATTACATACATCACACACAAAGGATTATAAGCAATCATTCCATCATTCATCTGTGAAAATATGGGAAACTGTTGCGAGCCAGCATCATCAATGGAGTGGGACGGAGAGGACTGGAGTGATTTGACGTCCAAGAACACAAGCTCAAGCAAGGTGTTTGACCAAACTCGTTGTCATGGGTTGAGTCTAGGGAAAGTGCAGAAGGAGAAGCTTATGGGAGTGCTAGGAGCTTCTCCTGATGCGAAAGGGAAGGTGAAGATAATGATTTCAAAGAAAGAGCTGGCTCAACTGTTGGAGAAGCAACAACAGGTTAGTAAGAAGCAAGTGGGGAGAGCTTCTGCAGAACAAGTTCTACTTCGCTTAATAAAAGCAAGAGATCATGATTCTCGTCATGAGTTGTGGAGACCCGTGCTAGCGAGTATTCCTGAGGCTAGTTGATTCAAGTTGAGATCGACTAATAAGTGTAGATTCATTGATCATGAAAAGGTCATTTGCATCAGTAATTGTATAGAACAGCTAAGTAATCCAACATTTTCATGTAAAATAATAGGATGATAGAGGTTGCTGGATTTGTATATCATATAAATAAATGGTTAGATTCCAGTTCTAGTTGTGGTTTGAAACCTAATTTGCCTTACAGGTAAATTGCAGTAGTGGTTACTATCCATTTGTATTCAGATCAAGCTTTGTTGAATATGGCTATTAACCATATTTATTAGAATATGTGAACTTTAAAAATATATTCTTATTCAAAATTGTATTTTTAATTTGTACTTAAATTACATACTCTATCCCAATAAGAGAGAGAGTAATGTATGCAATAGATCAACTATGGCGGAATTATTCAAAATATCATATTTGAACAAAATTATCTTTGTGATAAATAATATCTTAAAAAAAAAAAGTCTATTTGGATGAGAATGATTTTTTAGTTGACTTTTTCCTCTCCATGTGAAATTTACCATTATTAATAACATAAAATATTCAAAATTACGTTATAGCTTTAGAAGAAACGAAGAAAGAATAGTATCTTTATGAAGTTCCTTTTTATGTTTGTAAACTGCTAAGGTGTATGAACAAAGAATTCTGTACTGAAATCTTTGTTAGATCAAGTTTGGTGAATTTTATTGTGAAGTTCGTCTGTATACTGAAATAAGTTGTTAGATCTTTGTAAATATTATTTTCTTAACTTTAGTAAGAAAAATATTAGTTTTCATGTATAATGGTGAGGAATAATTATATTTAGATATGGCTTTTAGTTAATAATTTCAAAGTCAATATTCTTAACATGATAATTTATTATCAATGACAATGTTAAAAACCATTACATTATATACATGTATTTTTATTAAATCGAATGAAAATTTTATAATGTAATTAACATATTGTACAATAATTTACTCTTCATGTATATATAATTTAGGAAAACTCGAATAATATGAAGTAAAAAAAAACTGGAATAATAGTAATTCTTTGAATTAAGGGAACATACTTTAATATTCAAATTTAAATTTTAGAAATTTAAATATTTTTCCGATCTTTAGTTTTGAGTTTATATAAATTATTTTTATATCTTTATAATGTCCAGAGACAAATATTATTTAATATTTAGGCTGTTCTTTATATTCAAAGATATATATTAGCTTTATTTAAAATAATTTTTTCCTCTTTTAAAATTAAAAAGCAAGATATATATTAGTTCTTGACATGAGAATTGTTAGAATTGAAGAGGAGGTTACCACCTTAATTAACCTAGAGGAGAGGTGATGTGAAAGAGGTTTTTATGGAGTTTATCTTGACAACTTGATATCATTAATAGGAGAGAATGAATATGAGGGAGATGTTTATGTGGAGACATGCAACAGGTAGCGAATCATGTTAAACTGATATATATATATATATATATATATATATATATATATATATATATATATATATATATATATATATATATTAATTATTGTGTGTGTTTTATCCTTTAATTTTCATTATTGTGCATGAAGTTTTTTTCCTCATAATACAATGGATCAGTGTGGAATCAGCGTATCAAAAGTCATATAATTTGGCTCGTGAAAATCAAGTGCCATATCCCGACATCTAATGACGAGGCAAGTATAAAAAGTAAATGTGAAAATACTAATGTACTTTTGAGTAGTTATATTTACACAAAGGTTATTTTGACAATAAAAACATATAACTTTAAAAATAATCCACTTTCAATATTATAGTAATGATTTTAATTTATTTTTAATTTTAATTAATAAAAATGGATTATTTTGAGGGATGTTTGTTTTTGGAGTTTCAAAATATCACTTCTCTTGTATTTATCTTTACTTTCCTTCGTGGCTGATAGTTATTTTTTTTTCCCTTTCTGATTCATATGATTTTATCATGGACAAGCGCAAAAGAGTTAAGTTCCAAGATTTCATGAGCATACGCAGTAAGTTCACATTCACTTTGTTAGTCAAACATTAAGATGCAACAGAAGAGAAAGCGTAATGGTACGTACACGACATACACGTGATGTTTAGAATTGTATGCTTGGTCAAGGAAGCCATCTTTCGACTGCAATAACTAAGAATGAGACCACAATAATTCTGGGAGCCGTCATAAAATTAAAAATTTCCCTTACACCACCCACCCCTATATATATACATAACTATCAAATTAAATCACCTGCAACCTCACAAATCTCTCTGTCATCACCAACTTCAATATCCTAATTCCTCACTTTATCTTACATACATCGTACTCGAACAGTTTTAAGCAGTAATTTGATCATACATATCATTCATCTGTCAAAATATGGGAAACTGTTGCAAGGCGGCATCATCAATGGAGTGGGACGGAGAGGATTGGAGTGATTTGACATCCAAGAAGACCTGCTCAAGAAAGGTGATTGACTTAACTCGTGGTCATGAGTTGATTTTAGGGAAAGTGCAGAAGGAGAAGCTGATGGGGGTGCTAAGAGCTTCTCCTGATGCCGATGGGAAGGTGAAGATACTGATATCAAAGAAAGAGTTGGCAGAGTTGTTGGAGAAGCAGCAACAGATGAATAATAACAAGCACGTAAGGCGAGCATCTGCAGAACAAGTTCTGCTTCGCTTAACAAAGGCTAGAGATCATGAATCTCGTCAGGGATTTTGGATGCCCAAGCTAGAGAGTATTCCTGAGGCTAGCTGATTGAAGATGTCATCTACCCATCGTGCCAAAGGGATTGCATATAGATACATACTCAGAAGCTTATTTGCATCAGTCATTGTATAGAACTGCTAAGAAATCCAGCATTTCCCCGCCCCCCCCAACATTTGTATGTAAATTTACAGGAAAGATTGCAAGACTTGTATTTCATATGAATAAATAATTAGAATCCATTTAGACAAAGTCATCTCTAATGTATGTTAACATTGTTGACAATGACCATGAAAATTACACTTTTTTTTATTATTATTAAAATCATACTCTCATCATTGATAAATTAATATGTATTATATTTTAATATGAAATCAATTATTAGTGGTGATGAGTAACTATGTATAGACGAACTAATTTCACAATTCCGGTATCTCTTATTCGTTAATCAGACCTAAATTTATGAAAGTATTAATATTCCCGTATAAGCTATGATGTATACAAATTTGATTATTAAAAAACATGTAGACGATTTGACTGACCCTTGTACGTGTAACTTTGATATTTTCATTTTCTGTATAAATTATTTCATTTTTATAGTTTTGAAAGCGTTGAAGAGGTAACACTCTGATAAATATAGTGAATAATGATTTGATTGAGAGGATAAGAATAAGAATAGTATACAGAAGGAAATGCATGCCCTAATCGTTCTCTCCATGTATATATATATATATATATATTTGACTTATTCTTTTATCCTGGTCACACTTCTCTTTTCACTGTTTGATTGAATGTTCGTCACATTCCATCTATTTTGGGGGCTGTATATTTTAAAGTTTAAAACAATACTATTCAGAGGGAGGTCTACTCCTAATATAATAATAATTTAAAAGATGAAAGAAGGAATAATTTAATTTTGGTTCCTATTATTTTTAATTTCTCTAGAATTGAAAATTATTATTTTTAATCTTTGGTATTATGTGAAGTTCGTTTGCTTATGAGTTAAAAGTTAAGTAATAAAATGATATTTACTTATAATATATATAATGTCAGTATATAATTTTTTTTTAAATCTCGTTACTCTTTAGGTAATTTTGTCTTTAATTAATTATAAAGATGTTGTACTTCAAATTCAAACTCATGATCATCTTCAAATTAGTTGAATATAGATACAAAGTTAATGGAAATTATGACTTATCAATCAACGTGTTGCACAGTACTCTTGTAGGACTCATGTGAATTCTGCATGGATCAATTTTAATTTATATCACATTACATTACTTCTTTCTTAAGCTGTTATCTTTTCCTTAATTTCCTTTGTGCATTATTTGAATAAATATATACAGAGAAACTTGGAATTTACCAATGAAAAAGGTGGCTCGTAGTTCACCTTTTTTGGAATTAGTGATTCAAAAGATTTTCATGCATGATGTAAACATTTTGTAAATCCTTATTGCCAAAGATAGTAATATATCAAACTGTTATTACAAACTTGCAATGTTTATATTAATAACTTAAATTTTGTTAAATATATGATGTTAATATAGTCTATAGTAGAAAATTATTAGTATATAACTTTTTTGGTAGGGACTGATATGAATAATGAGAATGAATTATAAAACATACAAGCGATTTACCATAACAAAAACTAACGTTTGCTCTGATTCAAAATCTAATTAATTAATAACAATAAAAAAGTGTTATGCATTTCTTATACTAAACCAAATATATATTATTTTTTTAAAGTAAAATAGGTGTATATAATACATGTAACTTATCAATGAAAGGTGCTAAGTCCAACTTCAAGAGGATATGTGTAGATTCATGTTCACTTTGTTATTCAGTCTAAAAGATATGATACATCCCCTTAATTTCACACAGTTGCAAGCAAAAGAACATAAATTGTGGTCGTACACAACATACACATGTTATTGGCTAAGATATATTTGGTCAAGTAAGCCACTTTTTCGGCTGCCATGGACAATAATGAGACCTGATCTCCCTCTCCGTGTCCTCACAAACAATATATAATAAATTAATTGAAAATTCCAATTTCCAAAAGCCAAAGCCAGGGTTCCCATTATATCCATTTCCCTCATCACCCCATGTTATATCGATTATATATTTAAGGATCCCAAGACTTAAATAACACATACGTATCCGGAGATATCAATCTTCTGATTCTTCTCTTTATTAATTACATACATCATACTCAAAGATTTTTAAGCAACCATTTGATCATCTGTGAAAATATGGGGAACTGTTGCAAGCCAGCATCATCGGTGGATTGGGACGGCGAGGACTGGAGTGATTTGACGTCAAAGAAGACGTGCTCAAGCAAGGTGTTTGATCGAGCTCATGCTAATGGTCATGGGTTGAGTTTAGGGGAAGTGCAGAAGGAGAAGCTCATGGAAGCACGAAGAGTTTCTCCTGATGCCAATGGGAAAGTGAAGATAAGGATATCAAAGAAAGAGTTGGCAGAATTGTTGGAGAAGCAACAACAGGTTAATAACAAGAAAATAGGTAGAGCTTCTGCAGAACAGGTTCTGCTTCGCTTAATAAAAGCCAGAAACCATGATGGTCGTCACATATTGTGGAGGCCTGTCCTAGAGAGTATTCCTGAGGTTAGTTGATTACTTGGTAATGAGATGAATGTCACCTAATGGTGCTAAAAGGTTGCATCATTAATTTTATGGAGCAGTTAAGAAATCCAGCATATTTTTCTTCTCAACCTTTTCCAGTAAAGTGTTAGGATTGAGGTTGGAGGATTTGTGCAAGTGAATAAGTGCTCTTCTCTCTTGTGTGTGAAACTAGATCATGTATGAGAAACAAAAGGAATGCACTATACTGTTATTCAAGACTCATGTGCCTCCAACTTACCATATCAGAAGCCATTAAGGTGAAACTAATTATTAAGTGATTCATAACTATCAAAATTTACATTGTATTTTATCAGTGACACGTGTTATAATTATCATGTCATGGTTAATTGAGAATTATGCAGTAAAAATTCACCAAATAAATGATTTTATATATATATGATATCCTTAATCTAAATCAAACTAACAACGGTAAAGAATGTGTATATAATACTAACATATCTATGAGTATTTTATGATGACTTCAAATCATCACTAAATGATTTGTACTCATCTTGAAAGTAATGTGTATATTAATTAATTATTATAAAAAATATTTGATAATGATTAATGAAACATGTTATTAAACTAAATTTTAAAAAATTACAAAATGATAACATTATTAGAATAACAATTTAAATATTTTAATGGTAATTACAAAAGTTACAATTGAAATGATTTATGAATAACAATAATTACAATATTTTAATATAATTATAATAATTTTCTTTTTACTATTTCGTTTAAGATTATTACGTATTAGTAATTGATAACACAAAACAAGTTCTATAGATCTAAATGTTTATTAAAAAATAATTTTATGAAAATTTATAAATAATAATAATAATATTATTATTATTATTATTATTACAAAAGCATTTTAATAATATTAATTAAAATGATTAAAAATAAGTTTTTCAAATGTCGATGAAGCGTCATTTTAAAAAATATTAACATATTTTTCAATCGTAAAATTTAGATATTTAAAAAACAATAAACATTAAAATATTAAAAGAAATTTTTCAAAAAATAACAAAAAAATCATTCAATTAATAAATTATTACTTTTTTACTTTTACACAGTCATAGTCAGAACTGATAGGTACATGAAAATGTAATCAAGTCCAACATTTTGTTAGGATATGTACCTCCAGATTCACTATTATTCCATACACCACATACACATTGTTATAAATAAAAATCACATATAATTAAGTTGGTCAATGTCACCCACAAAATTGAGACCCCACCAAAATTACCCATTCATTTCTCTTGCATCATCCTCTCTCTCTCTCTCTCTCTGTATATATATAACTATCTAACTGATGAATAGCAAACACAGATATATAAGGTGTAATTATTATCAATATCATATAAATTGTAAATTAACAACACTTAATATAAATTTATATAACACATAATTTAATCAAGCAGAATAGAATGAACAACAGTCAAACTACTAATTACATGATGCATGCAGGTTCCACAGTATTTGGCACACTTCTGTGTATAATCACGTTCAATTGCTTTGCCATTCCTAAATAAGCTTGATTCATTTCATATGGGGCCAATAATAGTTATGGTGTCTAAAAGTATGTTAATTCAATGAATCCATTGCAGAAATAGAATTAGATTAGATAAAATTTGTGATGTTGAATCAGATTTTTTTTTATTTGTTTAAATCATCACCTATAAGTTTAGGACGGTTGATTTTATAAAATAATAATTATTTTTTAAATAAAAATAATATTATTTTATTAATATAAATATATATATATATATATATATATATATTATTAATTAATTTGACTAAAGATTTATTTATTTTAAAAATAAATATTAGAATAAATATTTAATAACTATTTATTCCAAGATTTAATAATAAATATTAATTATTATTTTAAATTAATAAATTATTAAAAAAAATAATGATAATGAAGAATATATTTTTAAATTTTATTTTGAGATTAAATAAATGTATTCTCATATAATTTATATATTAAATTATTGTATTTTAGATAAAAATTAATTTTATTAATAAAATTTAAATTTTAAAAATATATTTTATTTTTATTTTTTATTTAAATATTTTTTATTTAAAAATATTTTTTATTTTCTAAAAAAAAATTCATCAAATTAAAATTAATTTGTTAGTTGGTTAACTTATTGTAAAGTCATATACTAAACTACAAATTTTAACTAATTTTAAAATATAGATTAAATTAAAATATCAATTTTTTTTTATTTAACTCATGAGATTGTGTCATATTAGATTAAATTATCTTGTTTGACTTTAATAATTCTAATCAAGAGTCATACTTAGTTAAGAAAGTCATCTTTCTAGGTAGAATGAGATCATATTTAATTCTCCTTCTCCTTATAATTATTATATAATAAAATATAATCATCCAATTATCAATACATAATATGAGATTTAGGGATAGGATAAGGAAAATATTATTACATAATATGATAATTATTATATAATAAAATATAATCATCCAATTATATATACATAACTATCAACCTCATAAATCTCTCCATCATACCTAAATCCTAAACTTTATTATTACATATACATCGTACTAAAACAGTTCTAAGCAGTAATTTGATTATTCGTATCATTCATTTGTCAAAATATGGGAAAAATCTATTGTAAGGTGGCATCATCAATGGAGTGGGACAGAGAGGATTGGAGTGATTTGACATTCCAAAAGACATGCTCAAGAAAGATGATTGTAGAAACTCATGGTCATGGGGTGTTAAGAGCTTCTCCAGATATCAAAGAAAGAGTTGGCAGAGTTGTTGAAGAAGGCAAACATGTACAGAGCAGGTCTTTCTTCGTTTGATAAAGGCTAATATTTTGTGATTTATCGATAAAAATTTTATAATTTTATTTTTCTTTAATTTGATTGATAGATTTTTTTGACAGATATTTCTGTCAGAAGAAAATGTTTTGTTAGTAATTTCATAATATTCCTCGGTAAATAATTAAAAAATTAAAAATAAAATATATTTTGTGAGATAGGTCAATAATAAATGTTAGTTGGTAAATATAGTCTAAAATATTAAGATGAAACTTTGTTATTTTAAAAAGTCATTGTCATCCTAGCTCCTCCCAAATCATCTCTCCTCCTAAATTATCTCCTCCTCTCAATTCTTCTTCTTCCTCCAAATCATTGTACTTTTCTCATTAGTAAATGTAACATTCTACCTATCCCTATCTTTAATTGTGTCACCCACTCCATCTCTAGTTGTGGTACCTACCTCCACTCCACCCTCATTTCTATTATGGTCTGAAGACCTTCCTTCTCTCAGGATCATTGCCTTACTAGAGATGTTGATGATTCACAGGTTGGATATGATGATCATACTCTCTATAATCGACGAATGACTCGAACCATGCATTCGAGGGTAATGTTTAATTTTAATTTTCAATATATATTATAGATAATTATTCAGTCATTTTCATAACATATATAACTTTTTTTTTAGTAATTAGGTTTCTTTCATCCATAGTTGCCAAAAGGTAGCTAAGAAGCCCCCTTCCCATTCATTTTCCCTTGGGACGAGAAAATATTTCTTTCATCCATAGTTGCATCACAAGCTATAACAAAGACTATAAAACAACAATTTCTTGAGTCTTTGACCACTTGAGGAGTGATACCTAATAGTGATAAGAAGTCAATTTTTCAATGTTTTAAGGTAACTTATAACTATTTACATACTTAATTAGGTTATAGGTTTAATGTTATTGTTCATTTCTATTAATGTGTGTGTGTATATATATATATATATATATATATTTATAATTATTGAATCTATGTTTTGGTTATTTCTCTATAATCTATATAACAATTTCTATTTGTACATATGAAAGTTTAATGGAGAGCGAGAACATGGAAATCAAATAAAGAAGAATTTTCATTCAAAAGCATCTCATAGACTTAATGAGATGTTTAGGGATGCAAGAATTGCTGGCCAAAGGTCAAATTGGATTGGAGAGCACATATGGAGCAAGTTGTTCACACATTAAAGCTCACCAATGTATTACTCAAAATGTGTGCAAACCCACAAAATTAAGCCATTTGAAAAGGGTGGAACCTCCACACGGGTGACTCCACCAACACTCATGAACATGCCATGCATATGGTAAGTCTTTTAATAATATATTAGGATTTTATAATACCAATTGAGTTTTATACTTCTTATTTTATTAAGGTGATGTAAGTAAAGGAGCTTGACAAATCAATTTTTGTTGATGAGATTTTCCATCAGACCCATATAAGAAAAAATGAGTCAGTTTGTTCATGAGAGATATAGGAAGACACATGTGAGTTCTTTTGCTTTAAACTTTGATTACTATGATTTGTATAGCTAATCATATTAATAACTTTGTTTTCTACTAACAGGGAAAATTTGAAACTAGACTCTCACAAACAAGATCATCTACTGGATTTTGTGTTGGCGTCGTTGAGTCCAATCCTGGTGACTCTACACATGATGACCTTATTAGGTCCCGTTGCTGGGTGGACACACTTGGGAAAAAAAAAAGATTGTATGAGACTAGACAACTTGCTCATGGTTTCTAGGGTGGTTCTGATAGTCTTAAGCATCAGACTCAAACATCCAGCTCCTCAATTGATTTAGAAGAAATGAATTAGTTGAGATAATGACTATTTGTACAAGAAGAAGAAATTTATCAAACAAGGGAACATAAAGAGCGAAACTCCAATTTTGAGAGTTTCAATTGTTGGTGCAGTTGTTCACTTTCTACCTCCTGATGCATAATCTCTCATTCAACAACGCCAATATAGCCAACCAAGTAGTGAAGAATAACCAAAACACCAAGACAATAAAAAACAACAAGAAAATTCACCACAAGAATACAACATTTTATAACTATATTTCCCTGATTATTCTCATTCTCAGTATTGATGTTTGTATAAACAATGATGGAACAAGATTTGAGTTTGACTATAATTACTCTCTTTTTATGATCATAGTTAGATATTATGTTTGATTATGAATAATTTAGATTATTTTTTAATTTAATTTTTAATTTTAGTTGTATTTATATAGCTAATTTTTAATAGATGGTTGATCTGAAATTTTGAATTTGATGTGGAAGCAATATTATACTAGTTACAAGGAATATATGGGAGAGGAAAAAAATAATGGCCATTAGAATGTAATGCTAATATTACTAAAAGATAAATTTGTCAATAAATTTTATATCATTAATACTGGTCATTAGTGATGGATATGTATCCATATCAAATGAAACCTTCCATATTCATCTACCGTAAGAATCTTGCACACGTATCATATTAATTTTATTGACGGACTTCATAAATTCATCACATATTATTCGTCAAAAAAATTTGTTCGATAATAACAATTTTCTTATGACAAAGTTGTCATCTACTCATGCGCTAAAGGAAGGTTATTTATTCACCTTACTTATTGCATAAAACAGTAAAAAAATACACCATTTTTCTTTCAGTTTTTGATGAGAACAGGTCGTGGGGGTTTGTATTCAAAGTATTATTTCTGTATAGTAAGTACATCTCCCTCAAATCCAAATGAAATGTAACAGTTTCCTCTTCATGATTCATTTATAATTAAAACATTATATATTTACGTAGAAGAGAATTATTATTGGCATTCGAACACATACCTTAGAGTTGGAGGTCGATACTCTAACCACTAAATTACTAGAATTTTTTAATAATAACTTACAAATAAATTATATTTATATACAAATAAATATATATCTCGTGTAAATATATAAATACAAATATATTTATATATTTTGATATATTTATATAGTTATATATTTATATATTTATATGTTGGATGTGAGTGTTAGAATTAATTTAATTAATTCATTCCATTATGTGACTCATGTGAAATATAATAATAGGCCCAAATGTGATTTAATAAAATATGAGGACATATTGGTTATTATGTGAAGTTAGAATAAAATAAAGATAAAATAAAAATATTAACTTACGGTAACCAACTTGATGGACGTTGGTTAATAAAATGAAATAAGGGTTTTGTCTCCGGTCATAAGATTTTTTCACGGTAAACCATCAAGAAAGCGAAGCGTGAGAAGAGAAAGAAAGACAAAGAGATAGATTGGGAAAAGGAGATAGGAGAACGAAAATATCAAAGAAAAGATTCTCATGGATCAATGTTAGTCTTCTTACTATGATTCATGTATTGATGTATGTAAAATTGTGAAAATCAATAATCTAAAGATCTTGTAGAGTAGTTTTCTATAATGAATTAAGAACGTAGGAAAACTACATAATTTTACATGTGGTATTAGAGCACTGATTATTAGATTTATGATTTTCCTTGTATGAAAGTTTTCCCAAATATTAAGTTTTTCCCAAATTAAGATAAACCCTAATTATGAATTTAGGGATTTCTCTATCAGATTAGTATGAACCCTAATTTATTTCCAAATTTATTTTTCTCAAAATTAAATAAAGGAATAAACCCTAATTATGTTATCAAGTTCTAATTGAAACCAATTTTATAGCCTCTATGTGTGAATGAACCCGTAATTGATTTTAATTGAAAAGACAAATGGCGTGATATGGTTAGGGTGAATCATGTATGAAATTAGTTTTATTGTATGTTATAATTATGATGAGATGTTATGATGAAATGTTATAATTATGATGGAAGGATGGTAAACTGTAAAGTTGATAAACTTTGCGCGTAGAGAGCACGTGTTAAACACACATGTTTCATATATTATATTATATTATTTATAATATTCTTTTGTAAGTACATATTTTTTTTAGTGAAGGATAATTAAAAAGTTATTTTTTTGTTAAGGGTACTTGTAAAGTTTTGTTAAGGTACTCGTGAAACTTTATTAAGGGTAGTGTAAAGCTTTGTTAAGGGTACTGAAAACTTTGTTAAGGGTACTGTAAAGCTTTGTTAAGGTACTGTGAAACTTTGTTAAAGGTACTGTAAAGCTTTGTTAAGGGTACTGAAAGCTTTGTTAGGGTACTGAAAGCTTTATTAGGGTACTGAAAGCTTTGTTAAGGTACTGTAAAGCTTTGTTAAGGTTGTTAATATACTGTAAGGTTAATGTTTTGTAAAACTTTGTTAATGTATCTATAATGTAAACATTGATAAATGAATGAATTTTGGTTTGCAAACTGAATTATATTGTTTTTTGCCGCTGTGTTTAAATTACTCATAAAAGTTTTGAATGGATGACAATTTCACTTTTACGTGAAATGCAAATAAAGGTCTTAGATTGAAAATCAATCTTAGGATGAAAATTGAAATTGAGTTTCAATTTTATTTATGACACATAATATTTTATTATGTGAATAATATACATATTTATTAAAATTAATAAAAAAAATGCTATAAATCTTTAATAGCAATTAAAGATGTTTATTTGAAATTAAGCATGATAAATTTTGTTAGTCACCAAAGTGGCCAAAATTTTAAGGTTATTTTGATTTCAAATTATTAATGATTTTATTTCAATTACCCATAATATGAACGCTAAAATTATGAATAATGATTTATGGGTTAATTGAAGTTCATTATTATAAGGCATTTCGAGGATCACCCAAAGGTTGATTAGTTGTTATTATAATTAATGAACATGAAAGTAGATAATTTTGTGTGCGTCACTAGTTTTATTTATATACCCAAAGGTGTTGATGCATATTTTAATTATCATTAAAGTTATAAATTGATTAGCGTAATTATGTTTGTGTATTAGTGGATCTCCCAAAGGAGAACATTAGTATGCATAGAATGGTTATTTATGTTTGAATCTGTATTTATATTTAGTTTTTATGACTCAAAGCATTAAT